CATAACCCCTGGCCGTAATTCAACGCGTCTACTGGGGAAGCCACGCACCGCCAGTGCCGCACCGGCCGTCGGCCATCGCCGTCTTCGTCCTCGTCTGCATATGTACAGCACGGTTACGTGTAGCTGTCGTCGTCGTCGATTGTCGACATACCACAATAGGTGGGATAGGTGGGGAGAGTCCTTTTCTCGTCCGAAAAGACAGAGACGAGACGATGCGTTCGCAACCACCCCACTAAAGACGTTGGAAATGAGCCACCTCTACCGCGGCTTTACGGCGCATCTCCCGACGTGGACAGTGCCAAACCCCATCCAACATCCCCGAACTCATGTCCCATTCGGGGCCTCGCAGGACTCCTCAACCGACGCTGACCTGCCCTCTTGGGCAGAAGCCGTGGAACACCCCCCGAACCACAGCGCTCTTGGCACAGAAAGAAAAAACACTGCAGAAAGGGCCAGCTATCATGAAACGGGACATCTTTACTAAAGCGGTGGAACAAGCCCCCGAGGCAACGGGGGGTCGGTTGAACCCAAGCTCCAACAGCACGCAAGTCTCATTGGCCCTCAACCACCCTGAACGGTGAACCTGACTACGGAACAGAAGCCGTCGTTGCCTCGTTGGTGGGTGGTGACTACCCGGTTCGGCGTTGCCAGCCCGCGTCGAGTTCCGCGTTCCTCCCATTGGCGCGCTCTCTGTTCGTTTGAAACTCGTCAAGGCCTCATTACAGCGTACACACCAACGAGACGACACTTCGGATATTCTTCGCAAGATTCGCACATGCACACGTCTGTCTGTATGTGTCATCCAATGCGTTCCGCCTCCCGATTCTTCCTCCCATTGCCGCCTGGGCAGAAAAGTCTACCCTCACCACAACCTGCGGACGGAGCACGGAGTACCAAGGCGCCAAGTCAACGAGTCTTCGGACACAATGCCGATGGGGGGGGTTTGAGGGTGGGAAACAAACCCCAGGCCTATCGGTGTTTAGATATGCTGTTGCAAAGTAAATCGGCCCTTTGCAGGCTTTGCAAGGGACAAGCGCACGTCGAATTTCGAACACCACCATCCGCATGCCTGTTCCCTCCCCGGCACTTTGATACAGGTACGTTATCGATCAGGCACGTTCGGATGATGTTCGCGGCAGTTGTATACGCAGTATGGTGACTGCTCGAAACTCGAATCTGCGAATACCTTCACTACCAGCCCTGATAAGGGTCTCAAGTATTCTTCGTGCTTCAGGGGGAAACGACTGCGGATATCGTGTCTGAAGTTTCTACACCCAAAAAGCTAAGCATCTTTTTCGTATTTGTTGCTATCTAGAGGCACCTCCGGCATAGCTATTGGCAGACCTGAGCGCGGACTGGACTACCTCTCGACAGTTATCGCATTTCACACAAGTACAGAGACTTTGGCTGTTGGAAGCCCCCTTGCCTATTTCTTGAACGACCAAGTCCCCTGTTCCGTTTGTGCCATCACCAACGCTGGACGGCATCCAGATAAGGTGAGAAGGGCCTACGGTCTATGACCTAGATAGTTGAATCACGCGTATGGACTTCGACAAGAAAGGGGGTCCGCGACCCTCAAACCCCAGTCACGATGGTGAGCATGCCTGGCAAAATGTCACCATCGTGGTCCGGGTTCTTCAGCACCCGATCGCAGCCTTTGCGAGAGCGAGCATTCCCGACTTGTGAACAAAACTCAACATGCAACTCTGCAAATTGTGTCGTCGTCAGCATCGAGGATGAAACCCAGCCTGTGATGGTGCACGAGCAGCAATCACCGTATCACGAGACGGAAGATGGCGTGCTTCGTTTTCCCCCCAGAGTGAACCGCACTGACAACTTTGTCAATGGCAATTTCGCTGGCCAAGAGAAAGTCGATTGCGAACTCTGCGCGCGCCTCGGCCTTCTCTTCGAAGCGGTCAACATGAACGATATCCGGGGCCGAAATGGACCAAGATTGCGCTTTCTCCCCAAACGCCCGTTTCACAGACAATAATTATCCACAATCTTCCGATCAGTCCGCCGATGACCTCAAAGTTTCCCAGCGTGGCCGAGATCCGAATAATTCAGGGGATATCGCATCGCATCCGCCGAATATTCGCCGCGTACAGAGTAGAGTTGTTTAGTATCGTGAGCCGGCGAGGGGAAAGGGGACTCGGAAGACAGAGCCCCCTTGCCAAGACCATGGGAGTTTATCAAGTCTTCGATATCAATTAGCCCACTAGAATACAACAATAGTCACGATAGCTTGACTTACACCTTGCGACGATTGCTATCAGGGACAACCACGACTCTAATAGAGTTGCAACATGGAAACTCTAAGCACAGCCGCCAAGACCCCTGTGAGCCACGCTGTCGAAAACATGCGTCTGGTGGGCTGCCACGCTGTCTCTAAGTTCAAAGCCTTGTGCCCCGGAGCAGCAAGGATACCAAAAAGTTTCCTCAACGTCAAGCCGGACCAGAACTCGGGTCCGGGTTCGCGGGGTTAGCGGGCGCCAACGTCTGCGAGTCGATTTACCTCTGTCCCAGCGACGATGACAATCTAACACGGCCCCCAAGAAACAGCAGATTAGAAATACAAAGCTTCACAACTGGCTCTCACCTGGCAGCGGCCACGGTAATGATCGCCAACAAGGAAACAGGGGGGTGGATATTGGTACCTTATTGTGTAGTTTTGCCATTTGGGGGCAGTCCTTCTGTGACCGGACGGCGTTGACCTACAAGTCAGGAAAGTCACGCGAACCGGGCCGGCACAAGGACAAGGACCCCGGGGACGACCTACATTCAAAAACCGGCAAGCGGGATACCCGCCGTGCCGCTCATCTTTTCTGTTTTTCTGTTTTTCTTTTTCTGCCCACACCCCGACCTTGGTAATTGGCAAACAATGAGAAATCGACTGAAAACTAAATGGTGGCGAAATTTCAATGCTACCGTACCATAGCAGAGTCAGAAGTCAAAATTCCATAGCGGTTCATCGTGTCGGTCCCCGCAGAGGAAGGGAGAGGGGCCCGAGGGGGAAAATGAGTAGAGATGACGCTTCGTCTCGGCCCGTTTGACAGGGACCGGGGAGGCTGAGAATTCCAGAAGACGCGGCGATCAGACGGAACCCGTGCAACAAGTTCAACGACACGGCTGAAGAAAGTACGGGTAGTCTTCACGAGAAGAAACGCTCTTGTGTATGCTGCTGTGAAAATGGGATATTCGCATATGCCATAGATGGGGTTTGCGGAAATTGTCACTGACTTGTAACCCTCTGCGCCTGTCAGCCATAAACTCATGGCAGAGGCCTAGGAAACAAGGGAAGAGTACTTTCCAGGACAGACGTGATACGCAGCCGGCAGGTCACAGGAGGCGCTCGAAGAAGCATTCATTGACCTGTGATTTGGAAGCTCTGATGGAGCCAAATCGACGCGCCCAAGCCCATCGCAGCCACGCAGAGGACGTCATCAATGCAACGAAGCGGTATCCCAAAGTGGAGGTATGGGGAGGTCTCATGACGGACGCCCCCGACGCCAATCACTACCAAACTCGAGCCGCCGCACCGAAACCGTTGAGAGCGGCGCACCGTCTGCTTGGGAATTTGGATTGACATGTGGCGTATTACACAGTAGGTTAAGGTGGTAAGGTGTTCCGGAAATAACAGCGGGTGGGCGCGAAGGCGCCGCAGATTTGCAAGATCTGTCCATGCCAGGCACTCGTAGCGGCTAATGAGACTGGCGGCTGGGGGAGCTGTCGATACGCCGGCGACCTGGTTCGGCGTATCCGTAGTCTGCGACCCTGAAACGCAGGAGGTGACGGCGTTTTTGCCCCGCCAAGGTTGCAAGGCTGTATTTGTTGTTGTCGATACGTTCCATCTATCCCGTGGCATTTGGAATGTAGGGGTTAGCTACCCTGTGAGACCATAGGATTCGGCCTAGGTCTCCAGAATGGGTCGGGTTGTAAGGTCGGTATGACTTTCTAAAACCACAACTTTAGATCGGCATTCTTTGTTGATGTTGCCGTTCCATACACCTATTGGCCCCCCTTGAAATGAGCTGAGCTGAGCTTGGCAACAACATTTTGCAGCTGACTGAAGGATCATCTCCAAATCGAGGTGTTGGTTGTGGCAATAAAACCATAAGGAACAAAGCCTCTCACGTAAAGGAGCCAATTGGGCAATCCAGAGGTTAAGGTGGATCTGGCCTGCAAGTCTGGGCACGCGTATTGAAACCTATCGAGGATGAAGCTGCCTCTTTGGGTTCAACTCCCTCTGATGCCCTGGTTGTAAGAATCCTTCGTCCAAGGTAGTTGAACTCCCAAAACAATGGTTCAGCCGCTGATTGGCTTCGGACAGGCGGTGAGAGAGGAAACAGATCTTCTCTCCTTCGTGGTAGGTAGAGAGTTTGCGAAGCCACCGAAAGCCCCAATTGGCAGATCTGAGAGATGAGATTGAAATAGACACAGAGAGCGAACAAAGCCTTTGCCGCCCACACCGTCAACCACTTGGCTGGGGTTTCCCGACCCTCTGGCTCAGCTGCCCTGGGTTGAACCCGGCACAGTGACAAATGGAGTGTAAGACGTCGACTGCGTAGGCAGAACGCAATTCAATACCAATCGTTCCTAGTTCATGCACATTCGATGTGTGTCTTTAGGATGCCCAAGACGTGCTCCGTAATTAGAGAAAGGGTCCGACGGGTAATCAACACATGGGAGCGTCGATCCAAGCCAATCTTTCCGTAGCGCCACTCAAACCCGCAGACTTCATTAGTCGGCGGGTATGATCTGCCACCAAAGGGGCTCCATTTGGTGCGACCGAGGTGCCGGTCAATTACTTGACCTCCAAGACCCATCCCATTAGAGCAAGGACAGACAAGTGAGACGGAGTCCATGAAGTCCGAACCGATTCGAACATCCTGTAACAGCAACCAACAAAGAGGGGAAGCGGCCGCTTTGCAGAATAATAGAAAAATCTTGTTGGTCAATACATGCACACGAAAGGGTCGAGGAGATGTAGCCGCTGCAAGTCATTCGAGTCGTGCGTGACGTGACGACACAAAGTTGAGCTGTTTGAGTCCTCTGTCTGGTTTCTCTGGTAGAGTTGTCGAGGGCTGTCCTTCCGCGGGCCCCGCACCATGCAGAGAAAACCGTTTCCAGTAAAGCTCGGAGCCGGATTTGAGGCCAGTTGCATCGATGCTGTCCACGGGTGGTATTCGAGCGGGGCTCAGGGAACTTCTTGAGAGCTTGGGACCGCTAACTCTAAGAGGGTCGTCCCTCGGCTGGCAGAACTTCGATATGATTGCTGAAGATTTCAACGACCCGACTGGCCAGATGGGCTTCTTTTCTTTGGGGGGTATCATCGCCGTGATCGCCAACTCCGGCGGGCGGCGGGTCATATGCGGCTGCTATGCGGTTGGTTCTAACAGTCACTGCTCGTTGGCCAGAACGATCCCACGTTGCTTCTATTTACCCTGAGTCGGGGGCTGGTTGATGCACATGACGAAAACACCTGTCTGTACCTAATCCATGAAAGAAGGTCTTTACAGAGTCCTGGTCGTCTGCAACGATGTTTGCACCAATAGTTGCCCGCCTGCAGCGCCGGCGACACGCTTGATTGGATACAGGCAGGTTGGCGGCAACTCGTCCACCAGGACGTGTCATCTCTCACCTGCCACTGAAAGACGTTGTTGCAGCCGGTCTGCATCTTGACTTTTGACTTTTGCCTCGCAGTCCGGATTGGGAACAGGGGCAGTAGCTAGTATTCCCGTGTCATGGAGTCTTTGCCCCTTTGTCTGGCAAAGGCGGAACTTGGAAGATATAGCTCGTAATCTGTCAGTCGCTGTCGGCCGAGTGGGAATACTTGAATCGTCCGCCGAGATGATGGCCGGGTCTGGCCTAGGTAAGCTCGTGGATAAGATCCATTGCAAACGCCCCAAGCCCAAAATGTGCCTTTTGGTGAGGCAGCCATATCGAAATTGGACCCGGCCGCGTGGGTAGAAGAAGGTGGCCGTCTTCGGTTCGCGTGTCGAGGCAAAGTAAATCGGGTGGCGTGGCGTCAGGGTTCCGTCAAATCGTTTACGGCCGATTCAGCCATATCTCCAAGCGAGAATCCCGCCCCCGCAGCGCGGACCCAGAGCAACCATAGGGTGAATTGCCCGCCTCCCCGAGGCCGGCCCAGGAGGAGTGACAACAGTGGGTGTCACCGGTATGCAGCTTGTGGTGTTCCGGACCTGCGATGCGGTGCACCGCTGTGCAGCTGCGGGGTGGCATGATTCTTCTATAGTTATGTAGTGTCAGGCAAGTGGGCGAGTGCCTGACTGGCCCAGAAAATTTTATGTCTGCCTTTGGCCGGGTCGCTGCATTGTGGACACCGGCTGTCCCTGGGTTACCGTGTATGTGATGTAAATTCGAGGCAAAGTGTATGGCGATGGTTCCCTGTAGCTGTAGCTGCACCCGTGTCTGATGCGTCAGTACTCGTGTTTGCGTGGCGCCGAAACCCTAGGTTAACGTCGACAGCGACTTTGACATTCGACCTTGACACTGTCCGCTATCCTGATGGGTAGTGACACAAAGATGAGTCGACATATGGGTACGTCGTTCAACGTGCGCATGTCAATAAGCAAAAGATGGCGTAGAAGCACGCATGGAACATTGTCGTTTCGGTGCAAGAGACCAATAAGGGGTGGAGAGAAACCCAGCGCCCCTTCGGCCGAGATAGTACGTGTGAAAGCAAAGGCGTGTCCTGTGTAGCCGTCCGCGGTGGACGTGTGTCTATATTCGTAGCTCTGAACGAATAGGTATCCGCAGTTGGGGGCTAGAATAGAATACAGCAAAGGTATCTGTACTCCGTATTCAAGTATGTGTCCGTATGTAGGCATTGGTCAGAGCAGCTCAAACAGGGCATGTTGCGGTTGCCAAAGACAGCCTTACAGGCCTGGCAGGTCTGACGTTTTCTGGCTGCTGAGGCTTTGCGGGCGGTGATGACTGACCGCCTCGTGCATTGGCATTGATTGATCGAGCTGTGCCGTTCGCTGCTTTCGTCTCCCGCGGGTGAGTATCCCAACGAGCTGGTTCGGCTTCGGTGGTTCTCTGTTTGCCTTGGACCAGATCCTTGGGGTCACATTGAAAGAGGCGGGCGATTTGGGGGAGAGAGGTCAGAGAAGGCATCTCTGCGCGTTAGACAGCTAAGCGCCCGTGCCAATGCTTCTCGAACAAAAAAAAAAGCATTGTCGTGACCGCTGGGCTGGGATTGACGAGGGCACTGTGTAATGTGTATTCTTGAGACAAACCGTGACCAGATATGATTGCGGCCGTAAGATGAAAGTGGGGGAGAAGAGCAGGCCATGTTATTGTTCGCGTGGATGCCGGCCCAAAAGAGAAGGCCTTTCGAGGAGTTGGGGGCTGGAAGCTTGGAAGTCGAAAGGAGTTTGGGATTTGACGGGAGCATCAGGCTAGATGACCGGGCTGGAAGCGTACGATACTCAAGCCCTGCGAGAGGTAACGCAGCAGGGGCCTGGCGGTGATTCATCAATTCAACCGTTCGTGGCTCCTTCTGCCTGGCTTGTCGCTGCTGCTGGTTCCTTCCAATGCTGGCGATTGCCGAAGTTCTGCTCTTGCTCTTTTTCTTGCGCCTGCTCTCGCACTCTGGCTCCTGCCCCATACATCGTGAGGTGGGCAGGCTAAGTACCTCTGGGGCATCTGGCGATGAAGCGACAGAGCGTCTCGGGAAGTCGGTCCTTCCAGCGCTGTTTACACAGGCTTGGACCCAGTCCTTACGCAGCAGGTACCTCAAGTATCCAGGTACACCTTGCACAGGTTCCTCTTACCTCAGGACTAAGGTTGATAGACGGGTCGGTCCAGATCGCTCCTTACATAATCCCGCGACTGCTCATGTTTGGTTTGTGCTGGAGAAGACGGGATGAAATGTGCAGTGCGCTTGCATCGCCCCGGTGCTTGGGCTCTGAATCTCTGATGGGCCCATGGGACATCTCGAGTTCGTCTCTCGTTCCGTCTCCGTAGAGCGCCTGGGCCACGATGCGCCCAGAGAGTCGTGTCCCGTTCCCCCCGACGAATCTCATGAGAGTGAGATACAGTATGAGCAGTGTTGCTCCGTAGTAAATGACACTGGAACAGAATAGACAGCCCAAAAACACACGCATACACCGGGAGCTTTGGAAAGAAGTGGCCCAACCGTACCGAATGCCAGGCCCCCGTTCAATCCCTGTCCTATCCGCCCAAACGTGAAATCCACACCAGCCCGTCCAAGGGATACAACAGTGCAAATCCCCCCTTCCGGCGACGAGAAAACCCAACCTAAAAGACCAACCCATAAGAAAGTGGCTAGTGCAGGGCACCCAGATACGTGGGACAGTCTATCGGGTATCCGGACAATGGGCAAACGGGGTTATTACGGATACCTCAGTGGGCTCAGAGACAAGTCCGACAGAAGAACCAACTGTGACGAGAGTGAGACAGACAAGACAGCATTTCAAGAGAAGAATAAGCAAACAATCCCAACCGCTGGAGGAAAAATAGGACGCAACCTGAAATGGGCTTTTGCCATGAGCAAGGGGAAAACCAGTCTCCGCCTGCGGGCTCATGAGACCGCCCGCTCGTTAGGACACCACACACACACTCACACACACACACACACACACACACATACGGATACACACCCCAGATCGACTCATATCTGACACGTGCTGACAACGAGGAGGTAAAGGAGCGGTAAAGCGGAGACTTCTGACGAATAAACACGAGGGCCGAACAGCAGGCAGGTCTGCGGCTTCGGGCTTTTGCCAAGATGGATTCGCCAATCCTTCCTGTTGGTAACGGAATTTCAATCCCTCCTCGCCCTCTTCCTTTTTCTCACCCAACCCTTACCTTGCTGCTTCGCCTCACCGCTGCTGCCATCCTATCCTTCTCCTCGGGATTGTGGAACGTGAAGTTTCCCCTTTGACGGGATTTTCTTGATCCTGGGGTGGGTGGTCTCGGGGATGAAGTACTGGGATCGTCGTCGGTTTATGGACGGGAATACCATCCGCCCGGGGGTTCAGTTGGGATTGGAATGGGGCGAGGGGGGCGACGAGGGGGAGGCCTAACGGTTTAGAAGTCACATCGCGGCGCAAGTGAACCTCACTAATAACCTAATAGAGATTTCGTTTGGCTGGAAGATGGGGCCATGTTGTGAAGTCTAGACTCTGGACTTCTAAAGAGAACTTGCCCTGATCAGCAAGGGACGGAGTCTCGGATGATAGACGGAGCAATGCCTGGGTACGTAGTCCAGAAGGAAACAGTCTTATTACATTGCGAAGTACGTATCGTTTGCAATTCAACTCTCTAAAGTCTCCCGGATGCTCAAATCGTCTTTGGCGCGCGTACTGAGGGAAAGCAGGAAGAGAGAGGTGATGATAAGGTACGATGGATGCACATTGAAATGAACGAGGTGCAACCGCCCGCATTTAGCCTCTCCTCGAAAAAGAGGCGTGCCTACGTATTCTCCGTACCTGAACGTTTGATCGCTGGACCACGCGCTTGTCCTCCCCTCTTCCTCACGATACCCCAATACATGTACGAACAGGTACGGAGAACGGTGTATTCCTCTTTGGGGACGCTAGGTCCGACATCTCGTTCCATTGGCCTGGCTCCCAAAGGGAAAGAGGAGGGGGGCAAGGGTACGTAGCTTAGAGGTTGGATTTCCAACGAGGCGAGATGCCGTGATGCCTTACTTTACTTTAATCCTCCCCCCTCCTTCCCCTTGGTCTCCGATGAAGTGTCCAATCCCATTGCTTGATTGATTCTTGCGGATTACTCTTTCCAGCTTGGGGAGGACGGGACCCAAGCCACGCAAAGGCCTGTCGGGCTGCGGCTCACTCTTGGCTCCTCACGCAGGTTTCTCGTCAGATGGTTGACATGGGGTTTTGCATTTACTTCCTGGGTGTCGTTGCTAGTTCGTTGCGTGAACGGATATTATCAGCCCAGGCCAGACTCAACCAAGAGGGGGAACAGATGTCGCGCGAAAAGCTCGGATGGACAACGAAAGAAGTGGAGGTTCCTCGGCTCATTCAATGAACGACCAACCCATACGCTTCTTTCTTCCCCTTTTTGTTTGGTAGTGGTGTGGGTTTTCCCGTATCTTCCTGCGACCTGCGCCTGCATCTTATATCGCATCGGTCAAACAAAGTGGAGGACGTTGCGGTACCCGGTTCCGTACCTCTCAACTAAGTACGTACGGATAACCCGTTCTGAGATTCGAGAACCACAGGAACCACAGGATGGAGATGGGCCGAGGAACGGGGCGCCGGGGAAAGCGTCCTCTCGCATCTACCTTACTGCGTATCTGGGCTAGCACGCCCAGAAAGAGTACACTTATATCCGCGACCCGGTGCGGGAAGGTAAAAAAGAAGGGAAAGGGAGGCCCGTCCGACTAAACCATTTCGGGTCCGGCTTGCTATCAGAAAGATGGCGGGCCCCCCGTCCGTCCCGTTCGAACGATAGGTATCCGTACCTTGGGATGAGGTACGGAGTAAGTGGTGCACAACATACCGCAGGTTGAAGGGACTAGGACTAATAAGGTGGTCGGTGATACTCCGTACAATTCGTAGCTGTCTGGTCTGGTCTCTTTTTATTTTCTTTTTTCCAATCTCCCCTTTTTTTTCTGATTGCGCCGCGTCGATCTAGATTTCGCAGCCCGCAAATGATATCTCTAATGGTAGGTACTGTACGGAGTAGCAACATCGCTTACGACAAAAAAAGGTGTGCAGCCAATTGACGAATCCGTTTCGACCTTTTTTTTTTTTTGTCTTTCTTCTCGTTCGATCCGAGGTTCTGGTTGCCGGCTTTTTCTTCAACACCAGCTTTCTGGTCCCCAACCCAACAAACACACAACCCCGTTCTTCCCATTCCTCTCTCTCGGGTCACGTACGCCCGTTCTCTTCCTTGGCCTTTACCGCCCTTTTCCCATCCGGAATCTAAATGATCAATGAGACAGGTCCAGCAGCGGCTGGAATGCTAAGAGCCTAAGAAGGGATGTGGACGGGAAGGCTGAAAACTAACAACCTAGCCACAAAGTTGAGGGGGGGGTTTTCCTCAAAGTTTTTAATTACAAACGAACAATCCCATATCCCTATTCGCAGAGTCTGGGCTATAGTAATCCAGGGCTTAGTTGGCTTGGTAGGGTACTTTTGCATCAGCCACAAAAAGCTGTCTACTCAGTCTTCCATAGTACATACAGTACACCTTGGTTGCTCAGAGGTACTCGAGGTGGGAACAAGTACGCTACGGAACGCCTGGATATGAGCAATGGCGCGCGCCATCTTTCTAGGCAAGCTAGGCTAGCTGATCGCTTACCGCCCCTTCTGAAGGTTTCTTTCCACCTGGGCAGCTGGACAACCAACAACCATGACCTGGGGGCGTGAGCTGGCTTGAGTTAGAGAGACAGTAAGGAGCATGTTAATATAGCCTATGCCTATGCCGAGCCTCTCCCCCCAAGGTAGCGCACCCGACGATGCGGGATGGGATGGTGGGTGTTTGTTTGTTTGTTTGTGAGGCGTACCGGTACATGTGTTTTTGTTTCTTCTCCGCGGATGCAACGAGAATGTCTTTCGAGAGGTCGTTTTCCTTCAGGCTTCGAAAAAGTCCTACTCCCTGTGTGTGCCTGTGTCTGTCTCTGAGCCTCACATGCAATGCAATCAGCCAGGTTCCAGACTCTGCACATCTTACTTCCTGCTGCTGCAAGTTCGCAGAGGCACAATGTATGTACGATGAGGGGAGGGGTCTTAGCTAAGACGTGTATCACGGATGTCAGACTCAGGAACGAACACTACCTTCAAAGAGTTTGGGTTCCTCGGCTTCCCATGGGAGGGAGAGCAAGAGAAAGACAGAGACTTTGAATGGGATTGGACAAGGGAGACAGACACTTCCCCCCCTCGTCCCCGATGGGCTAAGCTCCGGACATATTCCAGAGCCAGCTCCGTGCGAATCCCGGGGCCTGGAGACCCACCTCTAGCAAATTCCCACAGTCCCGTCGTGCCTCTTTCCTGGGACAGGGATATCTGCAACCTGGTGGTTCTGGACAGGGTTGCCAGGGTTCTCAGGCAGACCCCACTTGGGGGACACGGTTCCAGTCTTCCTGTTCCCAGTGAGAGGGCGCCCCGCTCTCCCAGTGTTCGCAGTGCCAGAGATTCGCACATCGCAGAACCCAGAAAAGCTCGGACATTCTTCCCAATTGGAAGGTACCAGGGCCCCCCGCTTCTCTGGGCCTCGTCTTCTCCACCCTTTTGTGCCAGCCGATGGCCATGGTTCATTCACCAGTGACCACCTCACAATCACAGAGGTGAGAGGTGAGCGCAGCAGAGACCGGGACGGGTACGCAGTACGGAGTATGTACATACCTTACTGTTGTTCGTCGTTGTCTTCCAACACGCCCACTCGCCGCCCCTCCCTCGTCTCCCGTCCTCCGGGCAGGCTCCTCGTCCAACCCAACTTCCGTGCTTCCCAATGGAAGAGAGAACCTGAGCCTCTGAGGTGGATTATGGATTGTGGATTGTTGCTGGGATGGGTTTCTGGCGGTACGTATCGTCGTCTCCCCACCCGCCACGACCACCGCCATCCACACAGTTCGCGATTCCACACACAACACACCCCTGGTCGCAGTCGTAGTCGCAGTCCCAATCCCCGGTCCCAAGTGTCCCAGTGCCTGTGCTGACGCTTGGTATGCTTGGTGCTGGCTGGCTGGAATGTGTCTCTGGGCTGTCGGGTGTCTGTCGCAATTCTGGTGTGTCCTTCCCTCCGGTACGGCTAGGTAGGTACGTACCCCTCTCACACTTTAGCAGCACCAGCACCAGTACCAGCACCAGCAGGAGGGGGACCCGCCCCATTTGTGGATCTCGTCTCCGGCATGGGGCCATTCCACTCGTCGACGAGCCATGGGAGCCACCGTGCTGTGACCAGTCACCACTTTCCCAGCGAGGTGGGTTTTTAGTGTTACCACTGCATTGGAGTCCATGTTTGGTTTGGCCGCCGTCTGGTCTTTTTGTGGTGGGTTCCTACGTAGTATGTCTTTTGCGCCTTGCCCCGTCTCTGGCCCGGTCTCTTTCCTGCTGCCCACGCCTCTGTTGTGTCTGCACTGCGTACGGATAGTGTACGGATACCCTGTGCTGTGCTGTGTTGTGGTGCCGTTTCTTCTTGGTACGGATACAGACACAGATACGTCGCTGCATCTTGCATCAAGTTCGCCAAATTGACCGACCGGCCGACCGACCGGGCATACAGAGAACATGGAGCATGGGGCGTGAACATCAACATGTGGTGCGCTGCACCGGGCGTGGATGAGGACAGCTGCAAAGTCTGGGACCGAACTAGCATTGGCGTTGGTGAGTGGACTGGATTGGTCGTGTCATGGAGCTGCAACCCGACGCAAGACGCAACCTGCAAGAGAAGAAAGAGGCAGAGCCATCGGTAATGAGAGAGCAAGGCCTGCTAGGGACCTACCCTACGGTAGATAGAGTAATGTTGCAAGAGGAGTTGCAGACAGCCCGGAGAGGAGGTATGTGTACCCGTACCTCACACAGTAAGGTAGTGTAAAGGTACATTTACGAATAGAGAATGGAAGACGAGACTCAGAGTCCAGAAGCCACCACCCCCCCAATGGAAGTCACCAAGGAAAACCAAACCAAAGCCTGGCACCTGCCTTTCCACCCAGCACTAGCCCTTCTCGACTCTAGCCTCCCTCAACCTTGCCTCTTAGCTCGCTGCACCTTGTTTTCCCACTTTTTCCCACACTTCCTTTCAACCACCTCGTCCCCGTCAACTTACCTTGCTTTCCCGTCCTTCTTCTTCCTCGTCTTCCCCCTTCTTACACCACACCCTCTCTCCCAGGCCGACTCATTCCGAACAACTTGAACAGTTCGTTCGTGATCCGACTCCTGCTCTCGTTCTCGCCCGTCCCACCAAAAGGTCACGGCAAGAAGAGGACAAACACCGTCTTGCGAAGGATCTTGCTTTCGCCAGCACTCACATCTCGACTTTCCCGCTTCGCTGTAACCGCCGACGATCGACGCCCAGTTAATCGCCTCCGGTCCCTAGTCCCATCTGTCTAAGACTGCACGTACCAACATCGCTCAACCACACAGCACCATTTCTCCCACCCATCTTCGCATTACACCTCACCCACGCCACCCGTACACTCGACTTGTTACAAAACGATAAACCGACCTCTCGTTTCCCTCAAATACAATTGTCCCTTCTCGCAAACCTACCACAACAGCAGCAATCCGGTCCTGTTCATTTGGATTTTAGTGCACTGCAGATCCTACCGTCTATCCCCAGAGCAGCCCACAATTGACCCAGGGATCCCACGTTTTCGCAATCGATCCGACTAAAACACAAACCTGCAACTACATCGCTAAACATGAGTTCGCCAGCACAGGCCGGGCCTTCGGTCCCGAAGGAGAAGAAGGGTTTGGGCAAGATTCTGTCTCGCGCCAAGACTGTCTTCAAGAGAGGCGATAGCTCCAAGCGCATGTCGACCCTGTCTACCACTGGACAGCAGTCTTCTGCGCAAGCCGCTACCCCTGGGTAAGCAAGATATTTCGCATGCTTTATCATCTTCAACTCTTTTTTGGTGTTACGGTACCCTGCCTGCTTTACCTATCTAACGTGCATACAGCCCATCCACCGCCGCCCCTGCGACCGAGCAACCTGCCGCTGCCACCACCACCAAGGAGACCGCCAAGGACACCACCAAGAAGGAGGCCCCCAAGAGCAAGTACGAGGATCTCGAGGGCGTCACCAGGGTTCCCCGATCCGAGCTGTTTGAGGAGCGCGCCAGGAAGTTGGGCGAGAGATTCGGTCTCGAGATCAAGCAGAGCGAGTGGATCTCTACCGAGGGCACTGCTCTCCGCGTCGAGAAGCCCATTCGCATGCGCGTACACCGAACCTGCCACAAGTGCAATGCTACCTTTGCTGCCGCCAAAGAGTGCCCGGGCTGCCAGCACGTTCGTTGCACCAAGTGCGTCCGCCACCCGCCCAAGCGAACCGAGGCCGAGCGCATCGCCAGCCGGGAGAAGCGGGCCGCCATTCTCAAGGCTCAGAAGGAGAACGCACCCATTGTTCCCGACTACTCTTACGACGCCAAGAACGCAAAGGACATTGTCCTCAAGCGCCCCAGCAAGACCGGAGGACAGGATCTCATTTACAAGAAGCCGCGTCAGAGGGTCAGGAGAACTTGCCACGAGTGCCAGACGCTGTTCACTGCTGGTAGCAAGACATGCTCCAAGTGCAGCCACAACCGCTGCACTGACTGTCCCAGAGACCCGTATGTTGCACCATTCCGTGTGCCGAGACTGACAGCTAACATTGTATCAGGCCCAAGAAGGACAAGTATCCGTTTGGGTACCCTGGCGACGAATTTGGTCCGAATGCTGTGCCGCATCACGAATGCCATAAGTGCAAGACGATATACCCTGGAGGTGTGGAAGATGGAACCGCATGCAAGAAATGTCAGCATGAGAAGTGTGTCGACTGCTCTCGTCTGAAGCCACGCAAGGTCGAACCCGAGCCAGACCCAGAGATACTCAAGAGCATACAGGCCAAGATCGAGAGTCTAAAACTCAAGTAATGACACAGCCAGCCATCACTTTTTTACACCGTCCGACTTGATTGAGTTGGATTGGAGGCTCTTGGATATGGCGGAGTGGTGGATCTCTACTAGCGAGCCTACGGCATTTACTGGTCAACCTCCATCTCTACGGCGCTTCACAAGTCCCTCATCCGATTTATTCATGTCGCACATGCATTCAACATCTTTTTCTTTCTTGCACTACAACGACACTACACGACTATCCACCACCATCATCATCTGCATCACATCATACCTTTTATTCCGCCGCTGCCATACATACCCCTCTGTCTTGACCACCAGTCAGAGGGATGACGATGAACAAGAAGCATTCACGCACCATGCGATCATGACCCAGCATTGTCTCGACCAAACAAAAGTACCTTTTACTGCCGAGCGAAGCGACCTATACCTACTGCATACAACTAGCCTGTTTCGAAGAGAAAAGAAAGAAAGAATTGAGGGAGAGGAGACGTACCCTGACGCACCTGGATTGGAAGGAGGGGGTGGATCAGGCCATAATCGCGGAAGACGGGACGAATCGGAGTCTGGCGGCTTGGAATGAAGCAGAGGAGTTGCATTGCAGCGACAAAGAACAGAGCAGTGATACTAGGCGTACGGACCAGAACCGACAAGACGGGTCCAATCAGGGTGGGCGGATTAGCCTACAAGCGGAAAGCGAATTATTCTCCTTTCATCTCATCATCACCTTCTTGCCATCTCTCACGAATCATCATTTACTCATACTACTACTACTTGGTACTTTTTATCAAAGTATACCCAAAGAACGGGCTTCCGACCCCAAACCTTGGCTTTTGGATAGGCTATTGTCCCTTTTTCCCCAATTGTGTCATATGAGACTGTGATCGACCTATTACCGTGAAATGTCCGAGAACGTATCATCGGCCCGAATCTTCGGGGGTGGTCCTACACTAAGAGAATAATCTCATCTGACCTTTTTCTTCCTTCTAGCGGTAGTTGACGAAGACTGAGTCGTGGTTTTCCTTCCCCCGACGATGTCACTTGGTGTAACGTAACCTGTGGGATGTCTTAATTCCAAAACTGTCAAGACGTGCCGAGGTGCCAAAAAAGCAAGTTTGGACAGAAAACGGGATTCTTGGTTCTGATTGAGTTGTCGGCTACCGTGGTACGGGTCTAGACAATTTGCCAAGCACGGACGGACCATTGGAACCCGCTTCGAAACCCGGGAAGTCGGTCGGCAACGGTTTTTCCTTCGAGGTTGATGTGGTGTTGTTGCGTACCTCTCTGTGTTTTTTTTTTTTTTGGTACCACGAGCCCGTGAGCCCGGGAGGTGGTGGTGCCTTGAAAGGGGGTGGCGGAAGCGGGAATCGGGATCATTGGGTGCGGTGTGATGGAGGGGTGTGTGTGTGTGTGGGTGAGGTGGGTGTTGGTGTTCCATTGGGGGCTTGGTTGGCGGGCGGTGTCCGTTTGTGAGGGCGGATTGGATACGGTTTCTCGGGCTTTTCATTTTCGTGACAAGAAATTATGGAAGGTTTCTGAAGCTACAATGGGTGGGCGGTCTTTTTTCTTGATGGGCCTTGGAAAGGGTTTCCGCTGGCTTGGTTGGCTTCGCCACGGTGGTTGCGGAAGATGTATGTTGGTTGGTTGTCAGTTGCATCTATCTGTACACTACATACTTGGTCTCGTGTGTATGCGTGTGTGTGTGTATGCGGATGGGTTGGGGCGACCTCAGCCGACCCGGCCGCCCCAAAAACCCGTAAAGCCGTATGACAGACACCCCTTCTAGAAGGTAAGCTAGAAAAGGGGCCGAGAAGAACCTAGGGGGGTTCTAGACAACGTTGTCTTTTTTTTTTTCCTCCCAGAGATTCTAGTCGTTGGGTGGGAAAGGGCGGTTATCGTAGGACGAATAAGGGTCCCAGGCATAGAGCGTGCATACAATCTTGGGGTTAGGTTACGGGCTCTGCTGACGTGCGTTGCGTGCGGTTTTGGGGGCCAAAGTTCGTGTCTGCACGTGTACGGGGGTATAGCGTTGCAGAATTATAGGAAGAGGGAGGTTGTGTGTGACTACACCGTAGCAGCAGTACAGAGTGGGAACGGTTTGGTGTGTGTAGTGAAGTCAAGGTAATCCGGTGGCGTTTTTGCTTAGTTTCCCTTTTTCCAAGATTTGTTCGGTCGGTCCTATCCGCCGGGGGTGTGGGTGTGGTGGTGAACCCGTCAGCCCGTTCGTGTGTGTTGCGCGTCTGTCCCCCGTCCGGCAGTTTGGGTTCTGATGGATGGTTGGCTGGTTACGCTGCTGGGGAACCACGGAACGTTTCTTCTCTTTCTCCCTCCTCCTCCTCCTCCTCCCCTCCTGTCATGGATCGTTCCACTGATTTGGTGGTCTATGTTATGAAACCTAATCTGTGGGTAGGTAGCTTAGCTTACAGGATGTTCATAGGATGAGGTTCGTTTAAGATGATCTTGAGGGGAGGTGAGTGGCGGGGCTGAAGAGAAGGAGTGTGGCTGGGCCTTCTTCGCTGATTGGGTGGTGTTGTTGTTTCTTGTTAAGATGATGGCGTTTACGTGTGTGTCTGTGTGTATGTGTCTGGGATATACTCGTCGACTAGCTGATATCTCGCATTCGAGGTTGTGGATGTTGCGGATCCCAGCTTGGATGTGTGTCACCTACCTAACTCGTCGACTTACTCTTTGGACAGTCAATGTCTCTCACAGGGGAGTGAAGATGTTACCATCTTGGTCATATCTTGCCGCCCGGCGTATCCGTCTTGGCTTGTTGTCCAAGTAGTATTGGCTAAAGACTCATATGACGATGTGCTCTAGCCAGCTACAGCCTATCAGGCTAGATGATTCACATGGAAATACCAAGAAATGCAAAGGCACGTTCATGTCCGACTAAACACTCCAAAGAACCGGGTGGTAACATCAAATCCTAACGGCGTCTATGTAGTATTCCCAATCTATACAGGGTTCTGATGCCTGTCTATCCTAACAAGTACCGTCTCATGTTCCTTCGTCAGAAATGAGACACTTCTCTCCTCAGCGACGTCGTAGGCGTCCCGCCTAGGCGCCATCCTCACGTACGGATTGCTCAAACTGGATCACGCTGCCAGGAGGCAGGGCAGGCCCGAAAGTCTCGACGCGGGTCCGCTTCTGGCCAATGTACGCCGTCTTGAACGTGTCGATGCGCTGGTTGAGTCGCTGCTGCACGTCACGCACGATGCCTTTCTGCACCTCAGCAAGAACTTTGGCTTGGCCATCGAGCAGGGGTAGGAGCTTATGCGTGGGGTAGAATCGGCCCTTGAGATCCGGCTCACGAAGGACAGCGTTCTGCTTGAGGAGCACGCAGCGCCAGCGGTCGCTCGCGGCAAACTTATTGCGGAACGCAATCTCGTCGCGCAGTGGGCGCGGGAGTTTGTCATCCGGTACTGGGATGCCACCCACGGGTTGGTTGTCGCCGGTGATGGGCTGGTATATATCTCCCTTGAAGAATGCGTTACCAGGTGAATCGATAGGCGCGGTGCAGATCTCACGGAGGCCGAGGAGTGCGTCGGGGAGATTCGCCGCCGCGGGAGGTACGCCTTGCTCAGCGGAAAGACGCACGCGCAGGACATCACCAAGTTCGATCCGCTCGGCGCCCAGGAAGATACCGTGGTAGTCGATCTTCTTCCCTCCATTGGTCTCGGAAAGTCGGCTGAAAACAGAGAACGACACGCCAACCTTCTGGGCGGCCATCTTGGAGGAGTCGAGTAGCGCAACCTCGCGGCGGTGCGTGTCTTCCGGAGTAATCGTCTGGAAGAAGGCATCCCAATCGACCTCGTCGTAGGCCTTGTTTTGTAGATCCGAAATGCTGACGTTAGGCACCGAAAATGCAAGAAACGGGCGCGTTGTCGCTTCCAGTGTCTGGATGGGCGACTGATTAAAGTTGACATGTGACATTGGGAGAATCTGAAGCTCGGCTTTGTTGGTATTAGGGTTGATAATACCTGTAGCAGCCACGATGCCCAAACGCCAACCTGACGATATCTGGAACCAAACCAGTTCTCCGACGCGGAACAGCGCCGGAGCTACAATTCCACCGTAAGGCGGCGGGTAAGGCAGAAACTGCGGTTGCTGATAGACCGGCGGTGCCGGCGCATGTACCTGAGGTTGAACCTGCTGTTGAGCCTGGGTCGGAGCTGGTGCAGGCTGTTGCTGAACTTGCTGCTCCTGCTGGGTCGGCTGCTGGATTTGTTGCTGGACTGGTTGCTGGACTTGAGGTTGAACGGGAACCTGTGATGGAGCCTGAGCTTGCGGATGAACAGGAGTTGCCTGGATCGGCTGAGGAGGGTGCTGCTGCTGTTGTTGCTGCTGTTGTTGCTGCTGCTGTTGCTGCTGCTGCTGTTGCTGCTGCTGCTGTTGCTGCACAGGAGGCTTAGGCTGAACTGGGGCTTGCGCCGGGGCGGGGGCTGGCACCGCACGTGAAGGTATCGTCGGTATCGGAACTGGAGTTTCCTTCTTCGCCATTGGGGTGGGCACTGGCACAGGTGTCTCCTTCTTCGCGATGGGAGGCGTTGACGCCGCTGCGGGAGCGGGTATCGGGGACCCCGCAACGCCTGGCGGTATTTGAGGTGTAATCTTGCGCATCTTGGACGGTGGCTGAGTGTTGTTCGCTGCTGGCAGAGGCCGAGGAACATCCGAGACAGTCAAATCCTCCATGTTTGGCATTTCGCGAACGTTGCAGTGAATGCAACGACAGTCAGTTCGGTCCATCGAGCCGGACAGGAGCCATAGGACATGAAGACCAAATTCCTGCGGGCTCTTGTAAAGCTTCGACTTCACTGGATGCCCCGAGACCCAAAGATGCTTGGACTTTTCGTACAGCCAGTAGCCCCGTGGAAAATGCAGGAGCCAGGGGAGACCCTCTAGGAAGGGTATCAGTGAATGTACTACTTCTCATTTGCGGACGGCGAGCTTACCTGTCGGAGAGAGTTCTTGCTTCAACAAGATTCCCAGCTTTATGCGCCACTCTTGAAATCTTGCGTCATCTTTGTCTAACCGCACCATTTGAGGTTTCGCTCTTGGTACCTTCTCCAGTGCTGTCTTCTTCGCGTTCTTCGCAGCCGTATCGGCAGGGGTTGGCCAGTAACCCGCTCCATTGTCCTGGCCGTCGCTTCGACACACGTTGACAACAGAGTACTCTACTAAGTCGGACATCTTGGGTTGATGTGTGATTGCTCAGATGTCGACGACAGTGAGGTTCGCGCCAGGGCCGAATGAGAGCTCCGATGAGATGAACGGCCGCCTCAGACAGTTCCTAGGTGTCCAGAGGCAGCTTGCCAGTAATTCCGTGAGTCAAATTTATGGGGAATTAATAGCTGAGATGACCGCGGGATAAGCTAGATGTGCTAGCACATACTGCGCTTTTGTTGATGAAGGCCGTCGTGAGCTATGAAGTGGATCTGGTCTCGTGGTGGGTTCACTTCGTTCGATGTTGCTCAGGACAGTAGGCACCTGCCCCAATTAGCCTGAGTTGTCGATCCAACTCGAATCCTGTACGGGAGCAGGAAATATTTGGAGATAGCCAAGTACGATTAAAGTGCAATTATTCGCTGTCTGTCGCAAGTATTTGTTTGTCGTGAAGTTGAGCTCTTCGAAGTTGAAAGAGGTTGAAGGTTCAAAGAGCTCAGAGGTGAACGTGCACGCCTGTTTTCTTAGTCAGCGTGTCCACACCATGTAGAAGGTACCGCAATGGGTCCCTCGCCTAATCCAACCTCCCTTCTCCGGGAAAGGGCACGGCTGCCGCCGGGAGCCTCCTTCACCATGCTGCTCAAGTTCTACTAGACGTGTACCCCTCTCAAGAACGACTCTGGGGATCTCTGAGGCATGCTTATGTAGCCCGATTTCATTTCATATGTATGTCTCAGTGACGCTTGATTTCGCGCTGTCTGCCGTCATACGTCGATGAAGCCTTTACTCATCATAGCGAGGTTATACTGAAAGGCAGCTGACTTCAAGAGGTTTCGCGCGTCAACTAGCTTTGAATCATTATGACAAACAACTCAGTGGAGACGGACAGAGCCATGGAGTCTTGCGATTGCAACGGGAGACAAGGATCCCTTAAGCTAACATGCACGTTGCCCCGGGTGCATATCTCTGGCATTTCCTCAGCATCAGAGTTTTCCTCTCCATGTGATCATTTTGTAAGGTGAGTGCTGTCTGTGTCATTACTGCGAGACTTATGAAAATATCTACTATCTGAGTTGAGCGTGCGCTTGGCCCTCGACCCCTGAAGAACCCGCTTCCTCCCATTGTATGACCAATACATTAAGTGCACGCTTTCTCCCACCATATAATGGATGACAAGATGAACACATGGGAACTGCAATGGAAAAATAACGATAGAAACATCTCATGAGACAATTGCTTCGGGTCGGCGGAACGCCACGAAACGAATCTCCATGCTCTGGCGTAGGGGTGATTTGGACAGCGGATTGTTCACTGCGCAGTGAAATGCCCCTAAGCAACATTAACATCGAATACTCACTCTGATGAAGCATAGCTTACGAGGCCGCGTTCCCTTCGAATCAGTGTTCCTAAACACAAGGATATCATCTGGCATTTGCCCTGCAATATAATGCCATCTGTGCTTCTTGTTTGGGTGAAGGAGCGAATTCTCGCTCACTCGATCCCGGTGAACGGCATCACTGTCAAAAATATCATCTGGAGCGATTGAAGTATAGTCGCAAAGCGTCAGTGGATAATCGTCGTTCGGGCCTGTCAGAGGGCGCCATATGCTATGAGGTTCGCGGTCAGTAAATGCCCAGTGACATGTACCGAAGGAGCCCGCTTGCTGGACACTGCCGAGCTCGCGAGCGACGTACTTCAGAAGATCATAGTCTTTACCATCGAAGAACTCCAATTGCCCTGGGAAGCACATTTGCAACTGTGTCGCTACACCCCGAATCGAGTAGTCGCAATGCGGGCGTGTAGCAGGCTGTTCGTGCGTTACGAGGTGAGCTGGGCTACCTTGTATAGCAGGAAATCGAACGTCTCTCTTGCGGACCTAAGAAGGCGTCGAATAGCAAATGTTAGAACGTATTCCAAGACAGCAAGGATCGGTATGCTAACTGTGAGACTCATCGCGTCAATCCGCTCGTACTCAGGAAAGTGTGTCTGAAGAAGTGCTTCGGCCTCCTTGAAGCATACATCTTCAACTTCGCGAGGACGCATGAGGATACCCTCCGGTGACACAGTGGATGAAGATTTTAACACACAAAACCCATGAACATTGAGATCGAATGACTCATGAGGGCTTATGTGCCGGATCAGCATTGCCGTTGAGCTGGAAACATGGTTAGTCTGCGGCTTGCCATCTCCAGGATCAAAGTCCGCGCTGTATGGTTTCTCCCTCTTAAAAAGGGGATCTTTGTGAACATAGCGTATCTCGGTAGTGAAATCTTTGGTTGAATCCATCTTGGCGGTACGTCTGCTTTCATGCTTCTATTTCGCCGCTGTGACCAGCCTATTTAACTCTTCGCAGTGTTCTGTTCTTCAGAGGCTCATCAAGATAACGAGTTTACAAGGCTGTACGGCTTTGACCGCGCAACCTCAGCCATAGAGTTGTGAACAAACAGCTTGCTTGCCGACTTGCGGTTTTGGTTATGACATGCATGCTCTGAGAACCAATCATCTTTCCCCAAGCCGACATAGACCAACCCCGAGGTGACCACCAAGGCGACGAGACAGCCATCTCGCGTCTACAGCCGTTGGTAACCGATCATCAACTTAGCCTTGTGCTCGGTAGCATTTGAAGCCCCGCTGCGCATCTTGTGGTATGTCATGATGCACAATGTGTTGTAACACTATTTGACCTCCACGCGGCACATGGTGTGCGGCATTTAAACGATATAATAGTCATATGATTGAAAAAAGGCACATATCTCGCCTGATCTTTTTCTAACAGGCTCTAGGGTAAGGCAGAACTACTAGGCGGTCTATGCCACGTTGTCATCGACATCTCAACTGGGTTGATTTCCAGCACAGCTATTATGAAAAGTGACGGAAAACCCACGAGGTGGTGGGCTAATCAGACCTCTTCCAGTATGTCGAACTGCTGACCACCCACCGTAGGTTCATGTCCAAGGGTGCCCCGAGGTGTTGCGAGTCCAAATCACAGGGGTTAAGTTGCTCCTCGAAACACGTCATGCGGCGACCAGACGTTGACATGAGGCTCTGCGCTCAAGCCCGAGTGGTAAGTAGACGTGATCTGATGGTTGATTGATTGATCCAAATCTGATAGCCGGTGTCATAGGATCACAAAATCTGGGAACTTGCCTCTTTGGAGAATCTTTCCCAGTTTAGTCACATACGATACCATCATCACAAAGCCAATAGGATAGGCGATGCTGCTGTACCCGCGAATCTTGTTGTATGATTGGTGCGTGCAACACCGAACTTGCGATATGAGCGCTATCTCTAATGCCCCGTAAAGTTCCATTTTCAAATGATAGGAGTTCGGCTTCACGCTTTGATGACGTCTGAAAACTCCTTCAGGCACCCGAGTGCTGCCACGCTGAAACCCGATGGTCGTTTGGGATCCCTATCTCAAAGGAGGAAAACGAGCTGACCTCTTTCTGAGTAAAGCTGTGGCTCGAAAGACGGAATAGATGAAAGTATATATCGACATGTGTCAAGGTAGCGTACTGCTGAAACAGACTTTTCCATCGTCGTTAGCATGAAAGCCTATAAAGGGAGAGGAGTATCCCCAAGACAAAATGTTCAAGTCAAGCACCAACTCCCGAATCTCATAGCCACCGGAAACACAACCACGAAGAAGTCCCTAAGGGATCGACTCCAAACAATAAATCATGTCCAATTTCTTTCTTTCACCGACCGAACCCGCGGAAGCTCGCAAGATGAGTACCGACAGCAACGACGAAGCTCCCCAAAGCCAAGAGCAGGAAGTAAGGGTTCAGCCGTGGAAGGAATGGTTTATTCCTGAGAAAGCAGTGTCGACCGACGATGGTAGGGAGCGGATCATACTCCGCTTCGGTGATGGTCACGGAAGCCTACCTTCCCCTCCACGCAACATTGACCTCGGGCGGTCCAAGCCAAGCAATAATTCCGACGAGCAGGATATGGTCGGTTCAAGCAGTCTTTAGTTTGTCAGATACTGGAGAATATGTAATACATAACGCAACTGCTGGTGGCGGAAGATAGAATGAGACTTTGTATTCTGGGCCGACGGTTGTTATTCTCAAGGCGATAACTGCATAAGAGTGGAATCTACTTACTCATACTGAACAACATTAAATTGGTTTGGTCCCATTCGTTTGGCTTGGCACAATTTGCATTCAGTCCAGGTTCTGAGTGACAACTGTAGACTAACCTTGTAAGGTTTGCTGCCTTGAACCTGTGTAGTATCTTGCCTTCAGTCAGAGCTCGGTCGCCTCTCTATGCGCTTGTAAGTATAGACCAGAGAGGGTCGGGAGAGTCTCTCTGAACTCTCAGATTGCAGTGAATCTAGCAATAAGGGGTAGAGAGATGATCTAGCGGAAGGTGGCAGAGTGAACTCAATGCCAGAACTTCTCTCCCGATAAACGTGTGGACCCTGACGTACCCAAGCATGAGCCTTGTGCACTCTTGGCGAGATTTGTTGTACAAGCCAAGGTTCTACTGCCTTCAGGTCTACTGGCAAAAGTGTTGCATATGAGATGTGATGCCTCTAAGGAAAGACTTTTCCGAGTTTCCCGCGACATTTGAAGTTGACATTGAGGTTTGACGAGCCGGTAAATATTGTGCGTCCGGGCTTTATTATTCAGATAAATGTGGCTTTTATGCAAAAATTCGTCCATTGCTTTGCCAAATCTGCGAGGCACTATATCGGCGGACTCGAAGCTTGCGTTACATCAGGGCCTTCTTACCTATCCGCACCAAGGTCCCGAAGTAAACTGCCGAAGAGGTCATTTGCATTCTCCAACTCAAATAGCCAAGACAATAAATTGTCTGGAGTACAGCAGCTGATCGGGTCCAAGAAAGCAGCACTGTTAGGACTGATTTCTTGGAAGCCAGCCCTGAAGGTTGTACTCAAGGTCTTCTAGTAAGAAGCCTTGGAAACTATACTGGGGTCGTCTTGGGAATGCATCAGGCGTTCACAGGCGCTTCGACACTCTGAAAGAGTCTGACCCCGATTCTTAGTTAGTCCGCCTACAATCGCAGGGGCCAGGACCGAACCACCAAGTATCTCAGATAGGATGTATGCCGACTTCTTTTCGGTTTCCAGAAGATCTGCCTTGACATGATCAGCCAAGAAGGATAACAGAGATTGGGCACTATCTTCCGGGTTCAATGGGGGAATCTCAAGTCTCTCATGAGCTAGATCGGAAGCAAGAGAACGATTTTGCGTTGTAATCAGTGCTTGCCCCCGAGTCCCTGGGAGAGGCTAGTGCTCTCGCAGGAGCGCGGATTCCTCAGCATTATCGAATACCATAAGCCACTGGCAATCTGTTGACTTGAGTTTAGCGCTGAGGTCTAATGTTACGGTAAATACTGATCTGTCTGCTGCAGCCACTATCTTACAGACAAAGGCTTCATGCCATTTATGACGAATGATCGGTATCAGAACTACATCACCTTGGAACAGGAAGTCTTGGTCTCCTACCGCCTCCTCTTCGGGCAAAGCGCTCGTTCGAGAAAGATGATCAAATCGCAGCTCGAAAAGCTCGAGAAAGACAACGGGCAGTCGATTGATAAGATGCTGTACACCCTCTGAGGTGCCAAGAAAGAGGTCGACAAGCTGCCGCGCGGCATCTGGCCGGTGGGATGTAGGGACTTTGAGCAGGAGAAGCTCCTGGAGAGCGACGTCTACAGCGCCCAGAGCGACTTCCCGCGGTTGGGCTATCGCCTGATCAACCTTCAGAGGTTCAGCCTGCGCCATAAGCCTCGCCGGTTGACGGACCTGTGGAGGGACCGCAGGAATCCGCTGCAGTGGTATACCTTTTGGGCGGTCCTGTGGGTTGGAGGAGCTGGTATCATATTGGACATCATACAAACGATCCTTGCGGGGGTTCAAGTTGCCAGGTCGTGAAGGGCTGAATGTTCTAATCCTTTGGCTAGGAAAGTGACCGCGTCCTTCATCCTACTCGATGGAAGTTTTCCAGGCAACGATGGGGAAGAATTTCCTGTTCTGGACTGTGTTGCTCAAACTGGAAATCAAATCTTCGCAAGGAGCATGAAAATCAGGATGACTTATGGGCAAGGTTTTGAGAAGCCTCGTGTGGCTTTATCGACCATTGGGCGTTCACTGCGCAGACGACATCGAAGCTCAGACCAATAAAATCAGAATTGGAGTCAGACATTCCTCCATTCCTCGGCACTTCCCAGACTTCAAATCACCGCGATAATGTAAATGTCTCTCGTAGTAGGCAGGCACTGGCGACTCAAGGGAGTCAAAATGAAGCTTATTCTGACTCGCGGTTGCATCCCTCTTTACCTGCCAGCCACTTGGGTACAGCACCCAGAGATCTGGGTTAAGGACCGTGACGCCCACCACCACCTTTATTCACACAACAGTTGCGGGCAGTTTCTGAAAGCTACGGATGTAACGACCACGCGTGCACACACACGCACACACACACACACACACACATGCCTATTCTGACAAAATGTGGAAGGCGACGGCGGGATGACTAAACTACGGGCTTCGTGACTCGTGGAGAATCGACTGTTCTGGCCCATGAGCTGGCTGGCTGGCTCTACATGATCTCTCCAAAGTCGCCTCAACACACACGGTATGGAAGGGGGTTGTATTGGCTTATTTGCTTTCCATGGCATGGCTTGGCCGCTAAATCGTAGTCAACAAATCCTTTCCAAAAAGATTTGCGTCGGGATGGCCCTTTGAATCTCCGTATCATGTAAGACACTGAGAAATCCGTCATATACCTGTGTAACCGTGGCTGGGGGACGGTATCGAATCCGGCGTCTTGCTTGAGCAAGAACAGCCGAAGATGTGACCCTGATCGTCGATGATGTCTCTGGCGCTCTCTTACCCCAGATCTAGGCACCCCCAGATCTTGATGATTCAGGACGCGGAGGTTCAAGCCCCGCACCATTGGGCAGTCATCCGGGTCACTATGTCGGCTCGTGAGGAGGGATTGGCGTGGAGGTCCCCTTCCCCCAGCTTAACCTGGTTATCAGCGTGCATGGTCTACAGGGAGATCTTTCGCAGAAAATGAAATCAATACGGGCCTTCGACCCAAGTGGTATCATTCGATCATAACTCGTAAAACTATTGCTTCGGGTACAAATACACATTTACAGGTTTCGCAGGCCCCTCGGACGTATCAGACGCATCAGAACCAACGAGCGGCCACTGGTCGTCCTCGGCGACCTTTCTCGACCCGTCCATATTCAGCTCCCTCAGCTGAATCCCGTTCCCGTCAGCCGTGGGCGTGTACAAGCCGGCGTCATCCGCAACATAGGGCGTCAGGGAGATCCGCGGCGGATACGTCAAGCTCCTGCCCCTTCCCCCCATCCTCGAAGAAGAAAACGCTTGTGACATCCGGGTGCGGGTGTTGCGTCGCTGCTTATTGTTGCTCATCCTCCTACTATTACTCTCGCGGAGCCGCCTCGGAACGAGCCGTGCCACCAGGTAATCTCGAAACGTCTTGGTCGTGCCAAAAACGACAAACGTCAGCAGGCTAGCGGACACGCCGGGCAGAAAAAGTATGATGTCCAGATGCAGTCGTTCCGTGCTGAGGTCCGGGCTCTCGCTCAACGAGTCGCGAGAATTTTGTTTTGCGGATGAAACTTGAAACATAATGGTCACCACCTGAAAGATGCTTTTCGAAGAAGAACGAAAAACCACCCGGTTAGCTTCGTCGACTCCACACTACAGACTTTGAGGCTTGGGGAACCCCCCCATTTGAGGCTGTACTTACGCTAACGCAACGAAAGCTATGCTGAATCGTACAACAAGCCATCGATCGTAGATACTTCGGCGGCGCGTTTCGCTTCCGCTGTCGAAGACGAGCGTGTCGCTGCTTTTCGTGCTGTTGGAGCGTTGACCATATTGGACATTCCAAGAAAGAAGGTTTCGGCGCGTGTGGATGTATTTGACCAAAATAACCATGAGGAGAACTCCGCTGCCGCTCAGACAGAAACCCACTGGCAAAAGGGTTAGATGCAGTTGATGTACAACGGGGTAAGGAGACTTACTGATGCCATCAGCCAACACTAGAAAGGGTACTGTCTGCTTCTGGACAGCCTCGAGTCGTAGAATTCCCATCAAGATCGCGGGTAACAAGATAGCAATGGCTTTTTCGAAGTAGTTGACTCGTTTGCGAGTCGACTTTACGGGCTCCAATTGGAAGATCGATTGCGTGAGAGCAACTGCCCAAAAAAAGGTCAGGGCCGCTTCGACGTTGTAACTGTAGAACTCTAGGAGCTTGTCAGAGAAAGGTATGAAATCTGTTGGCGAATTGGATCTTACGGATATAGAAAAGTACCAGGTCCAGGCCAGTTGACTGGCCGGCGATGGCAAGCTCAGGATTGCCGACGTTGGCGTTTGAATGCTTGAATTGTGCAAGCTTGATGTCTCTCCATCGTACAATTGTGTGAATTTGCTGGGCTACAGAAGCAGCCGTCGACAAACCAGTGAAGTATGATACCAGGGCGACATCTGTTCACAAGAGCGCACGTCAGTATCCTGAATCACTTCCTGGATCCACAAACCATGACTACTCACAGCTAAGGCCTTCACGATGGGCATACACCAGCCATGCCATGAGAACACTGCATGCTAGGCAGAACAAGGAGTAAGAAAGTACTGCTATAGCTGTGCCTAGCTCTTCTTGAGGCAGCTGAATGGCCATATCACCCCCTTGGATGTTGGCCCAGCAGGCCAGACATGAATACGGAGCTGTTGACCGCAGGCAGGGAACAAGGTGACGGGGGACGAGGAGAAAGAAGAAATTAAGAACTGGGGAGCAAGCAACGGCATGGCCATGTTTATCATGCGGCCCTGAGATCGATCCGCCCCCTGCGATCGACGCAAGGTTGTCTCCCCGGACCCGACTCAAGAGTAATGGAAAGGGAACCCAAGATCGGTCGGTTTGGACATAGGCGCCGACGAACCTTGTTCGGTGCTCGCAACGATATGAGGTGTGCTACGCAGGCGCAGGCGGTTAAATGACGAGATGGGACTTCCCAGCATTCCAGAGACAGGGCAAGGGAGTTTGGGCCGACTTGAGAACCGCAAGCCCCCCTACAGCGTATAGCCGGCGGACTAGAAATGTCTTGGCTGGGGATCCTACGAGGGGGTGGTGGCGGGGCCGCTCGGGATGGTAATGAAGAGTTTTACCTTGTTGTAGTGTGGATAATAAAGGTTGAAACACGATAGTGTACGAAGGCGATCTCCAGAACAATATTACAACCAGGTCGAAATGGCTTCGGAGGCTGTCCATTCGGATATGTCATGGCGAGACAGATTGACATTGTGACGGCATTCTAGCTGGCTTCTGGGTGCGATTCTGGCGGCATCTGCCGACCACAGACTCGGTGGCTGCTTGACCCGAGATGAAAACGTTGGACGCCACGCTCCGTCTAATAGAAGACATCGCTAGTTTGCGTGGGTTAGGCCGAAGCAGCAGTGCGCAAGCGTCGTCGCAACTGTTGCGGAATACAAGTCCATAGGCCGACCAAGTGTCAAACTAAAGGCTGCTAGAGGGTAAGTGGCATGGCAACGTACGAGTTCGACCGAACTCTCCGCCTCCCATATTGAGACCAACCACAATTGTCGCTGGGGTTTGAGGCAACGATGGCTCGAAACATGTCTGGTAAGTGGAGGCGCGTTCTCGAGGCAAGATTCGTTGCCGACTGAGGGTGTGTGGACTGACGGACGTTGCGGATGGGGTCTCCCGGACCAGCCTCAACCCGGCAGAGGCGACCGGGCCGATGGGAGGCAACATACCGCGTATGGCAACCTCCAACAATGCGATGCCATTGGAATTGATTGGAGGCTGCACTGTTGTCGACAGCGAATTCGAGCCAGTCGGTGGCTGAAAACACAGTTTCCATCTTCTGGAAGACAATCTCCCCTTAAAGGAAGGTCCGAACATGTCAGAGTTTCGACCAGTTCGATACGATGCTCATCATATCATCTCATTGTTGAGCTGAGTTCGATGGCAGGGGAGCATGCCGCCTACCGAGTGCTCGGTGCTTGGGCTCATAGAGGGACAGGGTGAATCCATGAAGGTGATTGGGGCTAGTGGTTTTGTATTAACCTTGGTCCTCCTGAGTCAGAAATGAACACGAAAAAGGCCTTACACCACTGCCCAATCTAGCCCGAGCGACGGACGTGGCTTCGGGTGTTGGACCCAAGAAGGCAAGCAGCGAAATCCTAGTGCTAAACCAAAAAGCAGGTTTAGTCGCGGAGGCGCAGATTGTTGAGATGAAAGCCCGACGGCGTGTGGTGTCAGTCCTGCCATTCCTGCTAGAAGGAAGGTTGCTGAACGTCTGCCGCGACACAATCTTGGATCTAAGGCATATCGAGTCTGCGTAACGGTCGGACCACTCCCACGTGCTGATGAGTGAGCCGGGTCCAATAAAGAGCGAGTGCGAGGTCGTCGAGATTGTATTAAAGCTGAACCTTGGAGGGAGCCCGGCGGGTGTGAGTATGATCGGCAGTCACAGCAAAGTGCCGTGTCGTCGGCATGTGGCGTCTTCGTCCTGTAAGCTTGTGAGAGAGAGCAAGGTTCGTTCGCTGGAATGAACTTCAGCTGCTGCCCGAAGGAGCCATGCGCACCATGCACTCTCCAACCTGCTGCCCAGCAAGAAGGTTGGTGTTCAGGGGTTGGAGGATCTGGAACTCCACTCGGAGCGAGGATCCCGTCCAGAATGGACCCAGAGCCACGGAGAGGCCCTGCCCGCTGGCCGATGCGCAGTGCAATTTGGGAAAGGAAGATCTCATTCCAAGAAGATGGAAATTCTCCGGCGAAGTACCGCAGCCTTCTTCCAGCCACTTTGTGGCTCACCAAAGGTCTCCACTTTAACTTCCTCTCAGGTCTCTATGTACTTTTGGTGGAAGGTACGGTGGGGTCCCCAGAAGCTCTGGCTTTCAATTACTGTGTAGTTCTTCACCAGCGAAGCGCGTCCCGGTCGCGTCTAGAGGCATTCCCCCGCGAAAACCTTAGCGACTCGCAAAAGCCTCTAGGACATGCCAACTACGGCCGTTATGACACGCTGTCAAACCCCCAGATACACGATTCAGTCTTAAGCCTTACCACGCCGAAATGAACATTGTCCGAGAACACTACAACGATGGCAACCGTGCCTTCCTTCAAGCCTTCCTGGCTCGGGGCACCCTCACATACGAAGACGCACAGCCCATTCTAGCCGGAATCTTCACCATCGAAGCCCAAGATGGCGAGCCAGTCGCTCCCGAACAGGTCACGATGGAGGACTTCGACTCTTATCTGCAAGCTGCAGCCGAAGGCGTCTCCTTCTTTGACTATGAGATACGAAGCACGATCCATCAAGTCACCAAGAAGCGCATCTACGCTCTCGTGAACACCGCCTCCGACCCCATGACGCAGCTGGCGACCACATACAACGCAGAACAGATTGCCTTTACAAAGAGGTTATTGGACGCCATGTTCGAGACATATAACTCCCCGCGCATGGAGCTCATGTGCATCACGGAGATGCAGGCTATTAAGCTGGCTCGCCCTCCTCGGCAGAACAACAATCATAACGACGAGAACGGAGAACCCACGCAGACGCAGTCTTCCTCGGACAAGGGGCTTAAGCACAGCGAAGTGGAAGACATGCTGGCGAACCTAGTGAACCAGGGTTGGTTAGAGAAGTCCAAGGACGGGTTCTACAGCCTCAGCCCAAGAGCACTGCTTGAGCTCAGGGCATGGCTGATTGACTCGTTCAACGACCCCGACGCGGCCGCGCAAGATTGGCAGCGCATCAAGTTCTGCGAGGCGTGTAGGGAAATCGTCACAGTTGGACAACGGTGCGCGGAACGAGACTGCAACGCGCGCCTGCACAATACATGTCAAGAAGGTTACTGGCGCACTCAACGGAGTCACAAGTGTCCCAGGTGCTCAAAGGACTGGGATGGTGAACACTATGTTGGAGAGCAGGCTATGACCAGCACAGAGGCATATCAAAGGGGCCGCCGGAGGAGTGGAGGTGGCAGGAAGAGTAATGCGGCAGACGAAGTCATGCACGAAAACGGGGAGCATGGAGACGAAGAAGAAGAAGACGAGGATGAGGCATGATGAAGCATAGAAAGATGTGGAAGCTCTACCCGCGGGATGCGATGGGCAGTTGCCAGAAAAGATACCCCACGATGGCGGCTAACTCAGCCGAACCACTCAATATTTACCAATAGCATACAATACCTTACATAACGCCCAGACAACTGTCAAAGGGGACTGGATGAGCCGCAATGCTCTTAGAGGTTCTTCATTTGCCCATACCAGCCCCAACAAAAGAGGCGAATTCTGAACGGGTGATCATTCATGCTCTTCCATTGGATGCCTCCGGCGCAACCTCAAACAACTGGACCGCTCTTAAGCGAACCGGCAGCTGTATCCGGATCTCCACTCTTGTCCATTGCACCGCCACATCGGAGGCCGCTGCAAGGGTGACATCACATGTGGCTGTGTGAGCTACCCCCCAGCTTGCCCGCTCAACCAATCTAACACATGAACTTGGACGACGTGACGCCGCATGATAGAGCGCAGGGCCCTGGCCCAGACCCAGACCGCATGTGATTCAGAACAAGCGCTTGGCCGTTGTAATAAAATAAACCTGTTCCGACCGCCTCACTACAACGCTCTTGCATCTTGTTCGAGGAAACTACAACTTTCTTTGCCGTGATTCTTTGTTGACAGCATACTGGATCACAGAACTTGTCAACCAGTACGCCACCCTGGGACTCTGTTGGTTCCTCCCCAGAGAAACCTAAACTTCGTTGCCCAAGATGTTGGAATACCTGAGCTACAAGAAGTTCAAAAAGTACAAGACAGAGAAGGAGGCAAAAGAGGCGGCAGCAGCAGAAGGTGAGGTGGAACACAACAACGGTTCGCCAGCACCATTACCATCACCAGGCAAGCTTCACCCAGACTCGCGACCATCAGCCACAAGACGCCAAACGAGCTCGCAGTCCGTCTCGACAACAGCAAGCGCAGCGACAGGAGGCGGAGGCCCCGCGCCTCTCCTCAACCGCAAAGATGAGGCCTTCTTCAGACGCATCCTCGCCGACGCCAACGACGTCGACTCGGACGACGAGAGCGTCCGGCCCGCCCTGCCCCCGCGCAGCAAGACGCCAGAGTACATCTGGGAGGACTCTGACGGGTCCCGGCGCGCCGCCGCCGCCGCCGAGAAGCAGACGCCCAAGAAGGCCGCGACAGCAGCGGTAGACCCCCAAGACGCAAATGCCTCGGGCAGCAGTTCCAAAATTCCCAGCAAGATCGCCTTCCTCTTCAACAAGGCCAAAGGAACCCTCGACGACAAGGACAAGCAGCTCGCCCCAACAAAGACAAACGTCCCACCAAAGGAAGCCGCCCGCGAAGAAGACGACCTCTCCCGCGTGCTCGACGACCTCAACCTGTCGGCGCGCAACAACAAAGCCGTGCCCTTATCCGCAGAATCCTCCGAGCTCGTCTCCAAATTCACCCTCGTCCTAAAGGACCTCGTCAACGGCGTGCCCACCGCCGCAGACGACCTCAAGGCCCTCGTCGAGGACCGCGACGGCACCCTCGCAAAGACGTTTGACAAGCTCCCCAACAGCATGAAGAAGCTCGTCACCCAGCTCCCGGACAAGTTCACCGCCAGCCTGGGACCCGAGGTCCTCGCCGCCGCCGCGAAAGCACAGGGCGTCAACCACGCGGAATTCGCCGCCGAGGAAGGCATCAAGGGCGCCGCGAAGAAGATGTTCACGCCCACGAGCCTCGCGGACCTCGTCACCAAGCCGGGCGCCGTCGTGGGCATGCTCAAGGCCATCGTCAACGCTCTCAAGCTGCGCTGGCCGGCCTTTATCGGCGCAAACGTCATCTGGAGCGTTTCCATCTTCCGTAAGTCTTTTCTACCCCTTGACCAGTCCTTCGTCTTCCAGAATCAGGAGTAGAATGCTAACATGATTCCCCTTCAAAAGTCCTCCTCTTCGTCCTGTGGTACTGCCACAAGCGCGGGCGCGAAGAACGCATCAAGCGCGAAAACGCGCCCGAAATCATCGACGGCTCCGGCCGCATCGAAGAACTCCCCGATGACCCGGCCCTCATGGCGGGTCCCTCCCGCTCGCGCACCGAGCCGGTGGTGCGGTCGTCAGATCGTCCGCGCAGCCAGCGCAGCGAACGAAGCCGGCGGAGCGGCCGACACAGCTCCGGACGGACGACGCCTCAGCGACGGGCGTCGCCGGGCCCCGATTCCCCTAGACGGAGGTCGACAAGGAAGTAAATAGGGGGGCCTGTCGCGTGCTTTGGAAGTTGACCGACTTTTCTTCCTTTTCCACAATTCTTTTCTTTTATAATGACCCTTACGGCTGGCGTCTCCTTGAACTCTGCGACGAATGATTCAGAACGATGTTTGAATGAAATGGACAGGCAAGGATGAGAACTACATGATGAGAGAGATGAAATACATTCATTCTCGTTATATATATATTTTTTTACCATCCTTACCTTCTGGAAAATTAAGGGCCCTCTATGTGGAGAGGACATTTTCCCTACTCAATGTTTCTCACCCAGTGATAGTTTTTATGTACAGCTATGAATTGGAATGCAAAGACTTTCATAGTCGCAAAGTCTGTCTGGGTATCTTCCGGAGCGCAAAACAGAAAAAGAATTGCCTACTGTGTCTCACAACATTGCCTCCCCCATCGTGAGGGTCATCCCTTCTAATCGTCCTGAACCAACTCCTTAATCTCCTCGCGTCCACCAGCAGCAAGACTGCCCGTCTGACCAGCCTTCTCGCCCCCCTGACCGAAACGATCAATGACTTTGCAGCCATCCTGGACCCAAAAGTCAACCTCGTCAATGATGTCATAGACGATATCTTCGACAATCTGCTCCGTGTACCGCTCCGAGACCGGCCGCACCTGATCCAGACCAGGGTACGCGGGCACCGAGGATGACGCTGCTACCTTCTTGGATTCTTCCTGTCCGGCGTCGATCATGGACACCTCATTGTCGTCGGGACTCTCTTCTAGCCCGGGAGGCGGGAACCAAAAGTCGGGGCCAAAGTTGACCTCGGCAGCACCGCCTCTGAAGACGCTCACAGCGGGATAGTAGCCGAGCATACCATTGTCGAGGCCCTCGCGAGCACCGATTTGTCCCTGCGGCTTGGAGGCCGGGGGCAGGAAGGCGAGAAGGTCGGTGAAAGGGGTGCCCATGAGCACGCCGTTCTTGTACACCTTGATGAAGGATCCAGGAAGCGTACGGAGGGCAGGGACGACGTGGTTAGGGTTGGGCGGTTCGACCGAGTTGGCCGGGCCGGAGGAGACGGGCGAAGGGTTCATGAGGTCCTCGAGCTCCTTGGTTGTGTGGTAATCAATCTTCTCAAAGTAGATGTGCGACTTGAAGCGAATGGGGATGCGATCACGGACAATATTGGGCGCATCGAAATTTGTGCTGTCATCGTCCAAGCCGGTATCAACGGCCGGGTTGTACTGGCCAGCCAGGACCTTGCGCTGCAGGCGTTCCGAAGGCAGCTGGATCTCCAGGCCGATGACATCGCCCTCCCGGATGCCCTCTCCCTCGGGGAAGAAGGACTTGGGTCGTGACATGTAAACCTTCTCGCCTCCAACGTCGCGCAAGCCGTAACTGTATGCGTCGAATCCTACTGGCGCATCCAAAGTTGCCTCTCTTCTCGCGAAACCCATGCGCACGTGGCCATGCGACTCGGGCTTCTCATCTCCGCTTGTCTTGTCGACAATTCCTCTTGTAATCTTGGTCTCCCAGTAGAACCGTCCCTCCCGGATAGCGACATTCGCGCGCGTCATGCGGAAACCCTTGTTGGTCGTAATATGAAGGCCCGTCTGGTCAAAGAACAGATGAGTTGCGCTGTCCTCGAAGCTGAGATGAGGCCCTGTCGGCTCTGCTTCGGTACCTCGGTAGTATAGTGCTGAGGGGAATCCGGGGTCCGCTATACAGTGAGTGTAGTGGTAGCTCTTCTTATTGTGAACACTTTGGTCTTGTTAGCATTTTCAGTCAGGCGCACTCCGCTGTCGGCAAACTCACTGCTCCGACGTCTCGTAGAACTGGATCTCGCTTCCATCCAAAGCAGGGACGTTATGGTGATGAGTGAAGCTGGCGCCGCGAGCAGGTTCAAAGTCGGAAGGCTTGGGAGGCGCCAGCTTGTAGCGCATCGGACTGTAGTCGGACTGCTTAGGTTCGCGATGCTTGGGGTCCGGCGTGCCGCGGTTGCTGTCGCCGCCAAAGGCGCCCTTGGATTCGCGCTTCTTCAGCGACTCCTTCTTGTTGCGCTTTGCTGGCATCTCGTCGGCGCCTGGAGGTTTTGGTGTAGATCTGACGTCGGGATTGAGTGGCGAAGGTACAGAAGGAGTAAAGTCTTCTTCGAGAGCAGGTCTCTTCAAGGGGATCGCAGTTGAAGATGGAAGGGAGCCGCCCGGGGTCGGCTCCCGTGGAGGAGGAGGCGTGCCTGAATCAGAGGCCATTGGAACGTCTATTCAATTCGAACGTGAAGTTTCCTTGTGTGTTCAAGCCGTGAAAGTGGGTGCGCGGTTGGAGGGGTGCTGCAGTGGGTGGAGGAGTGGTGAACAATGGAAGAGTTTCGAGGTCTTGGTTCCTGTCGCGAGGCGCGTGTTTCACAGGTCGAAATTTTGGGAGTTGCACCAGGGAAGCTTCAGCACACCCCGCGTCAGCCATGGAAGCTCGGTCTGTCGTCACGCAGGGGGGTCTTAGCGGGTAGCCAGGGGTCTAGTTCCTCCCCCGGCCATCAATAGGCACTTGGGCTAGAACCTGGCGGGGCAGGCAGGTAGGTACTGCAGGTTGCTGCATATGACACCTAGCTGGAGCTTGGTCATCCCAGAGAACCAACCTGGAAAGCTCACCTTATTACAGCCTCTCTCACATGTCTTTCACAAGAGGTTTTGTTTGGTGCTTTTTGAGATATACTCCAAGAGCTATGAACCTTATTATGACTTTTCCCTCAAGTGAGCCTTGTGATGAATCAATCTCTTTGAGAACAACGACTTTAGGCCACCATATCGCACACATTGGTTCTGGCTTTTTGTAAATCAGATCAGCACTTGAAGTGGGACTTGTCTTTCGCTCTATCAGCTCTCTATCGGACACCATGCCCCTTCTACTATGCCGTCAAACGCCAGTCCCATGTTTATCCTTACAAAGTGTACAGAGGGGGTTGTTTGTACAATGTTTTGTTTTTTCTCCATCCAACCCTGGTATCACCCGTTTCCAGCCCAACCTTCAAAACCTCCTTAGATGGCACGCTCCTGCTCTTCCACTGGTGGATCCCAAGTCTCTAATGACTTGAGAATGCGTTGGTACAAGAACAGCATGGTGCCGCTCTGAATAAAAGTCCAGACACCACGGGGACCCACGCCCCTGAACCATCCACTGAGCCCCTCCGTCTGGTAAATGACTTTGAGACCTTCGATGACGGACGAGGTCTGCAAGTTGACCGCGCCTGGTCGCGGGGTATGCGTCGAGGGTGAAGACGTTGAAATGTTGCGCGTCTGAGATTTTGACGTTGAAGCGTGCGCAGCGCCCTTGACCGCCGGCTTCATCTCTTTGGGCAACAGATCAGGGTGCACCTGCGTCTGCAAACGCGTCTTGACGACGTCCAGAGGACATGTCATAATGCCAGCCAAACTGCCGGCGAGACCGCCGGTAAGGAGCTCTAGCGGCACACCAACATCTCTGCTCTGCTTGTAGGTGCGTGCCCAGGCGTGAAATTGCTCCCAAAACATAAACTGAAGTGCTGAAAATGGGAGGTCACGGGCCAGTGTTGCTTGGTAACCGTGGAAGAGCGCAGCCGGTCCTTCGTGACGGACAATTGTCCGCGCCGCATCAACGGTTCCTCTGTAGTTGTAGCCCGATTTGAAATAGGGGTTATTATACCGTCCTTGTAACTGCAAGCGGGTCTTTAACACCTCGGATGGAACGTAAACGATGGAGCCGGCTAAATCTCCGAGAAAGCCTTGAAAACAGTCAGTTAGTTAGTGTCTCTCGACAGCACAGCGCGAGGATCGACGAACCAGCTGTGAGGTAGGCCAGGTGCTGTTGCACACCATGGTCGATGAGAAACCGTTTACTCCATTCGTACGTCCCAAAAAACATCATCGTGCCCGGAAGAGAACCACCCAAAGCCGGTATCCATCCGCCGTAAAGACCTCGTCGGACGCCCTCTTGCCGTAGTATCTTGTAGTATGACGAGCCCAGAGACGTGTATTTTGGCGGTATGTGCGGGTCGCCCTGTTGCCGCGTCTTGACCGTGTCCAGGGAGTGCATGAGCATGTCGCCCGTCGAACCTCCGACACCTCCAGCAATCATGGCGTGGAGGTAAGGCGGGCGGCCCTCCTCTTCGAAAGAGTCGTCTTGTAAACTCATATCCTCCTGTCTAAAAGATTGTCCGACTGTTCTGATATCCGGCAAAAGTCCTCCCGTCTGTACCGCATATCTATCCTCCTCGAACGAGGCCGCCGCCGCCGGGGTCGAAGCCGAGATGCCCCCCTGAATCGTTTGCGCGTTATTGTCGGCCGGAGCTAGGGAGCTGACGATGCGGTCAGCGACGGACATTTGCGAGTGATGCCTGTCGTTGTTTGACCAGGCACTCTCTGGTCTGCGTCAAGGGTTCGGTCCCTCTCGGTCCTGAAATGCTGACGTCGGTCGGTTTCGATGTCGAAGGGGAGAAGAGAGATTCGCGGTTGGGCACTGGTGAGTTCCCGCTGCGGGACGACAGGAGAAATAACGCAGTAAACGGGCTTCGAGGGAAATTGAAGGAGATGCCTCCTCGTCGTTGTTTGTCGCGTGGGTTAATTGGCGCTGTCAAAAACTTGGCGGCGGCGAGGAGGAGCAGCAGCTGCAGATAATGATATCGAAATTTCATGCAGGGTTCCCGACTCTGGGAATTTTTGTTGGCGGTGCACAGACCACATGCAATGCTGTAGGTACTCCCGCTGCGTCACCGTCGGGTGAGCTCCCGTCTCTTTCTTTCATCAGCTGCAAGTGTCGACTGAATCAGCCGGACCTAAGGCCCTGGGCTGAAAGCCCGGTCCCGAGAGCTCCGAGCTGTAACGCGGGACAGCCCGCGCCGCTTCAAAGATGGCGGGATTTTGAAATGCCCGGACTTAAGGACCAGATAGATCAATCGTCATTAGAAACAATCTTGAATACTCAGAGGGGAGTTGAAGTTGAAAGTACCCAGTCGTTGACCAACTACCTCATGGTATACATAAACTTTTGATGTCCCTGTAACCCAAATCCAGGACTCTCTTAGTGTCCCGCTCACATGCTTATTCATACACGAAGCCATTCGCGCTTCAGTATCTATCCTTGAATTTGTGGTCTTCCCATTTCACGCGGCCAAACTTGCGCCAAGGCCAGATATTCCATATGCATTTTCCTGTCACCAGCGCCATAGATATCGGACCGTACGTATTACTGTCCAGCGTCTGATCCTGTGGCCCATCTCCCTCCACCCAAATATGGCCCTGCGGTACCCTGACCACTCTCTCCGGATACGGTGCTCTCGTTGTGACATATTCGCCTTCCAGCGCGACGACTCTCTTGATCGCTACGGTTTCGGGATGGAAAGGGCTCCTGTGAAAAGCAAGCAAAAGGGTCAGCTCGCCGTTCGGCTTCTCAACCTTCATGATACGAAGCGCAAGTGAAAACGCACCTAAATGTGACAATCATGCCTCTCTGGAGCCCGTAGGAGGGTTTCCACCTCCAATTGAGCACCATATCATTTGCAGTCGTCTTATTGCGATCCTCGTTATAGTAGGGGTACATGGAGCCGCCGCTGATGCTCGTGATGGTCGCAACATGGTCGTTGAATGTAATCACGACCGGGATCCAGGTCGCAAGCCCGAGCAGGCGAAGCGTGGTGTCACCGAGGAAGCTCCCTCGTGCGCGCGCCCATAGCGACCGGGAAGCCATGGGCGCAAGATATTGTCAGGTTTTCGCGGAGGTTTGACGCGCTGTGCCTTGGGAACAGCGCCTTCTCTCCTGTTGCAGGTAGAATTGTCGCGAGGAAGGTTTCGAGCTCGCCATCATCTCATGTTGTTATCTTATCTCTTATCTTATCAATTCTATCACCAGAAAGTACTGGAGCTTTGGGAACATCAACTAAGGTACGCCTAACAACTCCCCCCTACATGCGGGACTTTCGAGATTCCATCGTACGATTCGATATCTCTTTATTTGACAATTGTATGAAAATCATGATTATTTTATATTTATCTTGGTCAGCAGAGAACATTTAAAGATAAGTAATGAACCGCACAATCGAGTTGAAGTGTAGTAATCATATGACACGGTTGCCTCTGCCGATTCGTCTCTTTACGTTCTGTTGCTCAGGCCCAATCTTCTAGTCATATATATCTTCAATGAATCAAAATATTCTTTATTCTTAAATCTCTAGGGTGAGACGAGAATCACGAAATTTCTAGTACATGCAATATATACTTCGAACAAAGAACATCACAATGTGAGCCCAAAAAGGAAAGAGTTCAACCCTTAGTGGCGATTTGGGGGCTACTTCTCTTGGTTTTCATGTTGGGAATCGAAGTCGAACTCGTAGCCTGTCGTCGAGTAGGCTGTTGGCGCGACTGAATTTTTTGATTGTTGACCATAAACCTCTCCACCACCTAGCCAGTTTTACCTGATCCGTCGACCTAGACGGGCGCCTTCTGGTTGATGACTGGAATGGAATTGGAGGGACCTACCTATATGGGCTTCCTGTGTATATTCTGGTGTAATCAGGTGATAGGAAAGTTATCGGATGAAGGGCTGGCAAAGCAGTCCTCAGGTAGGTATCTAGGAACTAGTTGTTCTTGCCCCCAGCATCTCGCCTCGATTGAGAACCTCCAACGAAACCGTCAGGAGCATTCTGCTCCACGCAGGAGATCAAACCGCTCGGTCACCGCAACAACAACGACGTCCGCGCCGATAAAATGGCAAGTCCACAAGCATCGGTACTGTATGTGGATTATGCGGATTCGGCTATTGGAGGACGACTTTACTTAGGGGGATGTCACTGACATTTGTTCTTTGATGAGCCGTCAGGTAGTGTCCGGGGAAAGCTACTGTCATCAATTGGGTTGATTATGATAGACATATTCGTCTTCTCGCTAAGTGCCCTAGCTTGTGGTAAGGTCGGCCATACATCGTATTTATTGAAACGGATCATTCGTCTCATCGTATCATCAGTCCGTCGCTCACTCACAATCAGCCAGAATGAAATAATTTTGAAATGTTTAGACTCTTTTTTGGTCGTCTCATTAGAATCACTCTGGATTCCCAGCCTGCCAGTACGCTCATTCTACCAGCCGCCCCTTTTTTGTTGTGATGACGTTGACTCTAAAGGAAAAATCTAAACCTCCGGGTTGTCGTCGCTCTCAGAGACACTCTCGTCACCACTGACCTCGGCGTTCTCGCGCTCCCTCTTCTCCATGAGAGCCTGCAGCTCGGCGTCGTCGCTCTCCGTAACGGCCTTGGGCTCCATCTTCACCACCAACGAACCGCCCGCAGCCTCGATGCTGTTGCGGATCTCGACAATGGCCTCCTCGAGGCGGGTGATACCGAGGTTCTTGTCCAGACACGTGCTGGTCAGAACGTACAGAGGGGGGGACACGAGTCTGACCTTGACCTGGGTCTGGTCGTCGTTGCGCGCCTCGGCGGTGCGCAGGGCGTTCTTGACAGCGTCGATACCCTCGTATCCGAAGCAGGTGACCTCAACGTCGGCACGGACCTTTGTAGGTTGAGGGGTGAGACGCTTCGCGATATATGACTTCAACTCCTCGGAGACGGCCTCGCTGGGGAAGGTGGCGTCGTTCCAGACCTCGGCGTTCCTTTACTTACGCATCAGTATTCACAATCCCTCTTGCTATAGCGAAACATAGTCCTCAACTCACGTGATAGACAGCTTGAAGGCGTCAATCGCATGGCCGTACTTCTTGTTGAGGGGCCATGCGATGGTCTCGTAGAGCTGCTCGATCGGGGTAAGGGTCTTCTCGGCAACGTGGCGCATGATGGAGTGGACCATCTTGCCCTTGTTGTACCGCTCCTCGCACTTGATGATATCCTCTGGCGACACACGACGCTTGGAAAGATCGATATAACCCTTCTCCTTGTCGACACGAAGGACGACGACAACCTCGTTGCGGCCCACACGGATGAGCTTCTGGATACTTCTGATGCGACGTCTCGAAAGTTCGGAAAGCAGAATCATGCCGTCAATGTTGTCGTACTCGAGAAGCTTGACGTAGGCACCCATCTCGGCAATCTATATCACCAGTCAGACCCGGATGTTCCCTCTCTCTCGCTCTCATGTACCCTTCATATCCACGGCGACCGGGTGGGTTGGGGCGGTTCGGTTCGCCGTGTGCGTTGGGCCGGCGGGGCACAAACCTGCTTGACGTTGACCATGACGAACTCATCGATCTCGGGGTACTTGTTTTCGAAGTATCGAAAGTGACTGTAGTTCGGTTCCGCCATCTTGGCTACTGGTGCTCGATGTCGTCGAGTACGAAGGGTGGTGGTGGCGGTTGGGTGGTGTTGTTGAAGGTGGTCGGCCAACAGGTGTGGAGGGGCGGGGTGCGAAAGAAGGTGCGCGGGCTTTTTACACGTCCTTCCGGTCTTTGGATAGCTTGTTTCCTCTGTGCTCGGTGGAGAGTCGGCCTACTCGTCGGTCTTGATATCGCTTGCGGTGGGATCAGTTGCTCGGGGGCGACGTCGAAAAGCGAAAGAAGCGGCCTTTTGGGTGTGAGCGGCGTTACGTTGGTGATTGGGCGATCGAGTCACAATTTTGCTACTGCGGTTCACAAATCGCAGAAATCCGAACAATGGTGGGGGGTGCTTTCGGGGCGGTAGTCCATGGCAGAATCGGTGCTGATTCGACCGATAAGCTCTGCTTCGCTTATCGCCACGTGAGCGCCCCTCCAACCAAATTGTTCAGGTAAACAGACCCCAGAAGCTAACGCCCAGGTACACCCAGAGCTGCTTGCTGTTAGAGGCGCATTGAGCTACTTCACCGTAAGAGCTTCAACAACATCAGAACAATAATCCCAAAAATGGCACCCGGTGAGTTTTCGGGGGACTTCGACCTCAAATCTCGCTCCAACAATATTGACCAACTACTAATACTTCAGCAGCATCCCAATTCGAGCTGGCGCAACCGCCTAGCGACGCCATCTCCTCGCTTTCATATGCGCCCGAGTCGCCTACCAGACTTCTGGTGTCCTGCTGGGACAAGAAGATCTACCTCTACGACACACATAGCGGAGGCGAAGATGCGCCAGGCATTCTCATCAAAGCCATTGAGTTCCGGGCGCCTGTCCTGGACGTAACCTTTGGCGCGACAGATAACGAGGCCTACGCGGCGTGTTTAGACCACTGCGTCTACAAGTATGGCGAATCATGAAGCTCCCACTGGCCATTGGACGAAGCTGACGCTTTCTATTCAGGATCGACCTTGAGACAGAAGAGAAGCAAGTCATTGCGCAACACGGTGCGCCTGCACGATGTGTAGTTTACAGCCCAGGGCACTGTGAGTGATGTCTCAGCTATGCCGACCTTTCGCCGCGCCGTTCTGACCAACCTCACAGCTCTCCTCATCTCCGCCTCTTGGGACCTCACCCTCCAGATTCACAACGCAAAGTCGCCCTCTGATACGAACATCACCGTCCAGCTGCCCGGAAAGCCCCATGCCTTGGCAGCTAGCCCCTCAAAGGTCGTCGTTGCCATGACCGCACGCCTCGTCAACATCTACGACCTGACCAACATTCCCGCCCTCTTCGCCGAGCCCGGCCCTCACGACATCAAGCCCTGGCAGCAGCGCGAGTCGTCGCTCAAGTTCCTCACCCGCGCCATCTCCTGCATGCCCAACGACGCCGGCTACGCCACCAGCAGTATCGAGGGTCGCGTCGCCGTTGAATGGTTTGAGGACTCGGCTGAGTCCCAGGCTCGCAAGTACGCCTTCAAGTGTCATCGCGCGGCTGCGCCTGATGGCGAGGGCGATATCGTGTACCCGGTCAACGCCATGACGTTCCACCCCGTTTACGGCACCTTTGCCTCGGGTGGTGGTGATGGGACAGTCGCCTTGTGGGACGCCGAGGCCAAGCGCAGGATGAAGCAGTACCAAAAGTTCCCCGATAGCGTCGCGGCTCTAGCTTTCTCCAAGGATGGCAAGTACCTCGCCGTTGGTGTCTGCCCAGGTTTCGAAACAGGCATGGAGGACTATAGCGCTGAAGGCAAGGCAAGCGTGTTCATCCGTGAGCTTGGCGAAACGGAAGCCAAGGGCAAGGGTGCGAAGTGATCGACTACGGCCTTTAGAAACCTGTGATGGAATCTTACAAGACTTGTGGGCGCACGGCGTTTGAGGTGGTTTACATATGCAAGCATTTCTTTTTAAAGGACTGGGAGGTTAACGGAAAAGCCTGGTATCTATTATATCAGATGATACCCATGGTATTGGGTGAGAAGCGTGGCTGTTGATAAATCTTGATAGTCTCCATCAAGCTAATTCTCCCAAGAGTCTCCCAGCGAGGAAGCTTTGTACACAGTTACGATGATCATGCATGCCTCCATATTCTCCGCATTCCTGAAATTCGCGTGCATACCCACATCTCCATTGTGTTGCTATTTAGCAACCAGGTGCGCCTTGTTCTTGTTTTCGATAACTCTGCCTTTCGCTGGAAAAGGTTCCATTGGGACGTGGTCTAAGGTCTGTGAATGCGCCAGTCCAAACCGATTCTCCCTGTAACCCAGCCGGCCAAGCCTTTGGGGTTTCTCCATCTGCATATGTTTCCCCGGTGCTCATGAGACCAAGGGAGGTCTTATGTCCGGCATCTGGCTTCATCTTAGTCATGGTGTTGGCCGGTGTTGTACTGTCTGTTGCTGCCAGCTGATTCGTACCCAGCTCGTCGTCAAAAACGTCGCCAACCAGCGCTGTGGCTGAAGCTTCCCGCGAGAGGCTTGATGCGCCTACGTGAGAATCACCACGGGAGACTGCGCACGCTCGGTCCGACTGTAAGGCGTCGTGTCTTGCGGGCTCGATCTCTTCAACATCATCAGATAAGATGAATAGTATACCGGAACGGTGTCTCGATCTTCTATGCCGTGGCAATACTTCGATGGTGCGGAGGGATGGTAAGACTCTGGGGCTTCCGGAATCCTCGTTGATATTGTTCCTCTTGGTATGGTGGAAGTAATTCAAAGTTGCCTCTCCTGGGGACTCTGGCATCGCCGGTAGATCGACTGCTTTAGATGAAGCCCTGACTCTGGTAATTTCTTGTAGATCAGAGTCGATGACAAATCTTTCGCGCATCCTCGAACTCTTTGTATTGCTTCCAAATGATGCAGATTTGATGCCGCAAGATACAGGAAGAGAGCCTATTCCAGGCGGGGCTGGTGATCTCTTTCGCCGCCTCGTGCTCTGTAGCTTGGTGGAGCCGTTGATCTCTCTTGTATCAAAGCCATCCCTGATACTCTGATACATCGGCACCTGGGATCTCTCCGGTGCTGTTAACATCTTGTAATTATCAATTGTCATCTTTGTATGGCATCTCAAGGACGGCCTTCCGCGCTGTCTCTTGAGGGGGCTTGATATCTTTGGCGCAGATAACTGATATTGTTTTGGAACTGGCACATCTCCTGCGGGGTCCCATGCTAGTCAAGCTGTCAGAAGAAATCGCCTTTCATCGCATGAGACTTACCTTCGTTTCGATCGAATTGACTACTCGATCTTGGGAAAGGCGAAAAACTATAATCAACGTCGAGGGGCGTGGCGGGCATGGTGCTACCCATACTCTGAGGCGGTGACTCGCCAATTGACAAGCTTTCCTCGATGCTTGGGAGCGGAGAGCTTTGGTCATGAGTGACCGACTGCCACGTGCCGAAGTTCTGGTCTGACTCTTCGACCTTCACGGTTACCCCAGCAAGGATGTCTGGGTTGATGTCTTGTGGAAAGCCCGGCAGGCTTCGTCTGGCGTCGTTGACTGCATGCAATGTTCTAGGGGGCTCCGATTCGAATGTTTGCCTTCTGACGAATGTGAAAATATCCTTAGAAGCCGACATAATCCCCTGAAGCCTGTTACCTTAATTAGCTAGCTTTGAGAGGCAGGCTTCTAGACTCACGGCGACATAATTGAATAAGAATCAAACAACGTACGGCTTGGGAATCAAGACAAGTGGAAGGAAATCTGTTAAAAATTGAAAAACAGGGGTCAGATCATGGCAGGAAATGCCCAAGAGTGCTTCACAAGTAGTTGCCAGCTGATGAGTTGTTCGTCTTAGGAAAGAGCGAGTGATGGAGCTACTGCTCCTGCTTTGTAAGTAAAGTGAGGAAGGTACCTCCTGCGATACTCCCCGTTACCTTATGCCTCCCTTGCCCGTGCTACGACAACAGGCACTAGAGTAATTGCTTTCTCGCGTGGCAAAGTCCTCACGGTGGGTGCTGATTCGAACCCATCTAGGGATTGTTTGGAAAGCAAGTCCATAAACAGCCATGTAGTGCTCGTCTGATTGTACTAGCTGGATGATCACTCACCTTGTACTTTCTTCACACATTCTCGATGTACTATTGTATACTTGATTTCGGTGAATTTCCCTCGTGTAGTTGGGGGTCTATTGTCATGCGCTCGCTGCCTCTGGCGGATTGGAGGGAATGTTGCAAAACACGCAGACATCACAAGAATGGGTACACCATTTCGAGTTTCCAGGCGCCAGCCTTGAGTTCAGCATCGCAAACTGGATCAGAATCTGGCCAGAAACGTGTATGAAATTGTACTTGAACGGCAGCCAAGCAGCGGTTGTGAACCATGTCGCTTTTCAACAGCCTCTCAGTAATCCATCGGCCGCCACCTTTTGTACTGATTCCGCACTCGATAGTACTACTTTCCGCCTTCTTTGGGTGCGATAGCCTTGGGCTCTGGTACATAGTCGAAAGTTCCTCCCATGTTCAACAACCAGACTTCGCCAGGGTTCGACGGGACCTTCTCTCCCCATAAGAAGTTGTGGGGGAAGCCCATATCGAACGGCACAGCTCCTTCGATCTCCTGAATTTCTTCATCGGAGAGATCCAGGGCTAATGCTTCGATGTTTTGCTTCAGATGATCGACAGTGCGACCGCCAACGATGGGGAAGACGTAAGGTGTCTTTTGCATGACATAAGCCAAAGCAACACTCGTGATGATTGTCCCTTTGCTGTTGGCGATCTTTTCCAGCACCTGACTGATCTTGATTTGCGCTTCGCTAGCCTGAACTTTGCGGCCCTCCTGGGACTTGCGTTGCTCTTCCGTCTTGAAAGCCTGTTTCCAAGTTAGTCGTTGTCTTCTCTGGTCAGTTAACATTGAGTTAGGAGCACTCACGCCACCGCCGAGCGCGCCCCAGGGTGCCAAGCTCATTCCTAATATGGTGTCAGAAGTTATTTTCCAATCTCGCTATAAAGACGCTGCAAACCTTCAGCCTTGGTCATGGGAATGATCTCTCGCTCGAAGTCTCGTGAGGCAGCAGACCATCGACCTTGATATACGGAGAATTGGCGTAGTCCATGATTTCTGGCGTATTCATTGGCCTTGCTAATGAGGAGGTTAGACCAGCTCCTTTGATGGGGATGATTCCTGATAGAATTTACCTGACGATCCAAGCCGGGGTATCACTGATGCCGAGAAAGAGGACCTTGCCGGTGATGACGAGGTTGTTGAGAGACTGCATCAGCTCCGGAATAGAAGTAGAATAGTCCCACCAGTGGACGTAGAGCTGCTCTGTGTAAGTGACATCGCTTGAAAGATAAGAGACAAAGCTGCTCACGAGGTCAATGTAGTCGGTCTTCAGCTTGCGTAAGCTTGCCTCTACAGAGGTATGCAAGCTCTTGGATCCGTTGCCGGTGAAGTTGGCCATGATGCCCGGCGCGTTGGGGCCCGCTTGGAAGTTTGTGGTATACTTGGTTGCAATGACTGTCTCCATTTCAGATACAGCTCCCACTGGGCTAGATGCTCAAACCTACCCATTTGGTCACGAACGCCTCTTTTCTTCATCCATTCGCCAATCCACTCTTCGGACTCTTCGAATTGGTAGTTGTTGGCGGTGTCGATGAAGTTGCCCCCCTGCTCATGAAAGAAGTCGAGGATCTCTTCGACAGTCTTTTGATCGCAAGTACCCATGTATCCCTTCCTGTCAAACTTCTTAGAAAAGGATGTCTGAGACAGGTTTCTTCAAAGTAATCTTACCAGGCGTCGCCAAAGTTCATGGCGCCCAAACACAGAGGGCTCACGCGAACGGAAGCCGTCGGAGAGAGAATGCGGTAACGAGCCAAGGGGCTCTTGGGCGGAGCTGCCATAGGTAGGGCCGACATGATGATAGGTATTGTGAGATGTATGAGGAAGTAAGTCGAATGCAGCCCAGAATGAAGAGAATTTAGGATAAATTCAGGTCGTCAGGTCGGTCAGAATACGAATTTGCGAGCTGACTGAGGTGGGATTTATATCTCTCCAAGAGTGAGACTCAGAGGAGGAAGGCGGGGGATCAACTAATACCGACCGCTCTTTCCCCTCCGGACGAAACGGGACGTACGACAGGCAACATGACAGGACGGCAGGCAGGCCCCCCTCAGTTGGCAGGGCAGACTGTAAGGTAGGTAGATCAAGGCACAGATGATCTCATTGTAAGGTAGCTCTTCCAGTCTCTTCAGACGCCGTCAGTCCAATTGGATATGTGGATGTTTAGAGTTAGCTCCTGCGCCAGTCTCCAAGTCCGTGATGCTCCAGCCGAAGTGCCATGCATTAGGACCCTGCGCGAGTCCCGCATCCCACCTTAGCTCACACTAGAGATGCTTTGTGCCTAATCACCAGTCTTAAACCCGACGATTCGCACTACCGGTTGCGAGCTGCAGGTGCCGGGCGTACTGATGTCAAGCAATCGGACCAAATGAAGTCTCCAGTGACTTGCAGGTCTGCCCTGTGGACTTACAAGATGACTGAGAGCTGACGGTACATTTTCTTCTCCGACGGCAGATGACGATTGGAAATCGAAACCTCCCTTTCTGTCTTCACTCTACCTGACCTCAAGACTGCCCACGAGTTCAAAGCATCGCACAAAGCAGCGTGTCTAGTGAGCCTGGTTTTTATTCGTTGGGTCATGATTTGCGCTAGGCTTGCTGCATGAAGTAGAACAGATGATCAGCGGCGGACAAGATGACAATACAGCTTCTGAGATCATTCGAATTCGAGAGCTTCTAGAAACAGGAGTGGATGGATTTCACGATATGGGCGATTAGAGCTGCTTTCTGCCGAGTGGAAGCTGGCGTTCGGGTTCGGGTTCGGTTCTCCTGCATGTCTGCTCAGATAATGACTAAGACGCCAAGCTCGAGGGCGGAACGGATCAACTCCTTTTCCTCTTCATCCCAATCCAGCCCGCCGGGACACCAGTCAGCGGGCAAAAAGCGTCTGCATAAGGTAAGATACCTTAGCAAAGGCCGAGGGTGGTACGACAGTGGGCGTAAATGTGACAAGGGTCCTTCAACTTTTGACTGACAGTCTCAACGACCCATTGGCAACCACGTCCGACATTGCGACAGCCCCCCTTCGAGCGATTGACCTCTTGCGACTACGAAATGATCCGATAGTCAAGTCGCGAACGATCATGGCAATTGTCGAGCTTGCACGATGTCTGCCCCCGCCCCCGTTCCCTCGAAAGCCGCGATTCATGCACTTCGAGGTCTTCTCTTTGGGACTTCTTGCTCTCTCGTCCTCTTAGCGGAAGAGCGTCGCCAGCGAATCAAGATAGCACGATCAGCAGTCGAGAATGGCAGAAGACTGAAGTCTTTGAAACGATACAGCACCAGTGGCGTCGCTGCTCTCGAGGCTCTCCAGGAAGAGGTCGCCACTGACCCAAATTTCGTCAGCTGGCCAACACGGTCTCGGAGTCGCGACTCCTCACACGAACACGGCAGATTGGTGTTCGATAGCTCATATCTGGATCAACACGTCAACGAAACCAGCCCAGACGCACGACGCCCAACAAGGGCAGCAAGCGAACGAGATCTTCCACAAAAGACGATAGACAAGCGAGAGACAACGCAAAAGAGTGGCCGGCCGACCTTGAACGCTACGCAAAGACATAGGCATGATCCCTTTGTGTCCCGTTTCTCATCCGCAACCCCTGCGATACAGGACTTGTCTGCTCGAGACTGCGTTTCAAGGTCGTGTGGAAACCAACCAAATGGAGGGCCAGCACAAAAGAACGCCATTGATCTGGCGGTAGAACGTGTATTAAGCAACCACCATGGTGTTATTTCTCAGACTGCTGGGTTAGAGGAACTGCTTCGCAACTCGACGTCTATACGGCGCGAAAATGACATACCACCCGCCGCCCTGAATCTTGTTGCTCGAGCCTATCGGTTTGTGGACCAGTCAAAAATGCTGCCTGAATGGTTTTCGGAATTGTCTTCGCTGCTATCAAAAGCTTGCTCCCGGTGGAGCGATTTTGGAAGTGCCGGAAAGATACTGGAATTTGCGGTCCATCACAAAGTGGCCACTGAGAACGACGCGCTGGCGGAGTGTGTTCTTGAGTTTGCCACATCCCTCGTCTCGCCAACGACGCACCAACCTCAAAATGACGAAACTGCCACCGAACGATTACAAGCAGCGGCAAGGCTGTATGTTAGCAACTTGCTGTTGCCGCCGCTGGAGAAATCGAAAATACGGTCTGGCTACGTGAAAGTGGGCAAGGACTTGATCAGTCAAGCCTTGGCAGAGGAGGATGCGCGCCCTATTGACGTTGTCCAAATCTTTCAACAAGTTTCTATTTGGAGTTTCGACAAGCTTGGAACCATGGTCTGGTTCATGAGGCAACTCTTCGAGCATCAGCAGCATGCACTGGCCATCGACACATTTATCGGAATCTTCGCCAAGTTAAAAAAGACCTCTACATACTCTAAGCGTCTCTGCATGGACGTTGTCAACTCAGTCGTTGCAACTGGAGGCTACCAGTGTCGCGAAGTTCTTCAGATATTCAACCTGCTGAGGGAGCGCGATGGATGGGACGTGCCATGGAAATGGTTGGAAGACTTCATCTGGGTGAGTTGGAAGTCGACACGCAATTTCACGGAGACGCTTCAGCTTTTTGAAGACGCAAGGGATCACGATTTTTACGGTATCCAAGACACTCTCGAAATTCGATCGAGGATGGTGCGAGTCTGCATCGAGGCTAAACAAGCCGAGAGAGCAGATTTGCTCATGGAGGAACTTATATCTATATACCCAAAAGCTCAAACTGATATCAAGATACTCGGCCAATTCACCCTTCAAAACGCCAAGCAGGGGAATTGGTTCGGAGTCTTCAGCGAATTTGAGGCGATGAAGACAGTGCAAACGGCCAACCCTAACAACGAACGGCACTTTCGTCGCGTATTTGCGGCCGTACTAGAAACGTATGCGAAGACTCACACTTGGGGCGAGGTCGAGACTTTCATGGAAACGTACATCTCGGAATTCGGATTAGGCCTTGACCGCCACCTGGTCACATTCATTGCCGACAGACATGCAAAATGTCGCGACACGCAGGCGCTGAAGCGATGGCTGGTATTCTGTATGGATTCCGGCTACACCGCCGACGGCAAATTCTGGACCGCAATGTTGGTCAGTTGCCGCAGAAACTGGAAGTATAACGATAAACAGCTGTCCGACCTGTACCATGCCATGAAAGGTGCTGGCATTAGCACCGCCTTCCCTGGCCTCGATCAATGTTACAAAAACCTGACGAATACCACAAGCCCCCGGGCCAAACAAGTCCGGTTGAGAGCTTACATGGCAAGCCCTGCCCACGAGGTGGGTGCCTTCGAATCCATGAGAGCGGATGCACAGATTGGGAGGTGGAATAGTGTGCTGGCTCTTTATAAGCGTGCGCTGCACAACGGCATGGGTCACACGAGTCGTTGTCTTAAGTTGGCAGTCAGAGCTGTCGTTGAAACCGAAGGCCCTCGAAGTAGACAGGCCATGGCACTCCTGAGTAGTGCGCAGTCTGAAGGTTGCGACACCAACGAGGCCATGTATCCCATCGTCCACGGCCAACTCGCCGAAATCGAAGAGCGCCGCGCCGGGATGGCGGGTGAAGACGGCCGAAGTATGGTCTACCCTGAGATCAAGGCCGTCTTCGACGACCTCCGCCTCAAGGATATCCACATCGACGACGGCTTGTTCAATCGCGCCGCTCGCATCTGCGAGAAACTGCGCAACTACCGGGAGATGGTCCAATTCTGCATTATCGCGGCCGAAGTCAACGGTCGCGGTGACCTCTGCTACAGCGTCTACAACTTCAATAACCTCCTCGCCGCCTACGTGATCCGACACGAGTATGGCAAGGTGCGCTGGCTGCTCGCCGAGCTCATGAAACGCGAGTACCGCACCTCCAAGGAGGTCAGGTACCGCCTCTACTGGGCGGTGCAGTACCTCCGGAAGAGCGCCGAGGCCGACAAGGACGAGGCGCTCATCCAGTCCGATAATGAAATACTGGCCCTTGTCCACGAGGTCCGCACGGCCTTGAGAAAGGAGAACCTCGACCAGAAGGCAGAGGTTAAGAAGGTCCTCGTCGACGCCATGTCCCATGCCGCTTCTAAACCCAAGACCACCAGCAAGGCTGATAGTCTCGCACCGGCGGCCTTTGGACAAGAGCAAGAGCTGTCCACGATGAGCGAGGACGAAGACAACGGTACCGGTGCGTCTGCGCCTGCACCTGCTTCCGCACAGCCGACCCTGGTTAGGAGGGTTCAAAGCAAGCGCGAGGTGCCTGTGGACTCTTCGGCAAGGCCCAGGGGTTTGAACGGGGCCGAGTCGCAGCCAGGCAAGAAATCTTACTCGTGGAGATCGACTACACTTAGATAGAGATGACAGATTTGGGCGAGGGATGTTTGGGGGGGGGGGGGGGGGTCTGCGTTCCGAATGATGGTAACCCCCCTGTGTAAGATGCCACGCAACGTTGGAATTTATCAACACCAAGTGGCGTATAAACTATGTATTCACACAAATGTAAGCTTCACGGCGTCGATAGATATATGTACATGTAAACAATAGCCAACATAGAATGCATATTATCCATAAACCAAGGAGGCCAGTGACTACTTCAGTGCCTCTTGCACAAAAAATGTATCTCAAGAGGTGAACAGGTGATGCCGAACATTCACCCGGATCACAACGGCACACAGGAGTCCGAAAAATTGGTTAAATCCAAATTGGTATTTGCTCAGAGATGGGTTGGAACGGTAACGCGCCCGAGTGCAAAATAAAGCCTTGTAGAAACAGGCTCACCGGCCCCGCAAGAGGACCCGGCGTCGAAGCAAGAAAACTTCAACAGGAATATGGTACACGATGCTACTTTGGCGATTCCAGCCCGCAGAGCCCAACATACCACAGTGGGACTTGTCCTCTTTTCGTCTTTCTCCCTCCCATACTCCCGTTCTCTCCTACCACCAAGGGTACCGCCACAAGAGGTGGAGGGGGGCCCCTTTCTGGTGTCGGCGCACTCTGAAATGTCAACTTGCCGTCCTGCACGACAGATCCTCGCATCAACCTCTAGCCACTCTCACACCGGCGCACCTTCTGGCTCTCTAGCTAGTTCTGGTTACTCTTCTCGATTTCCCGTGTCGTGAACTGTGATAATAACGCCTCACCGCCCCCAAACTCGCCGGTCCCTAGTTAAAGCATGATGGAAATAGTCATCGCCAATCGTACCTGCAATCTGCCATGCAGTGAATGCCAGGGTAAACGCTCAGGATTCATCATCCGACCTCGCCGCCCCGCCAGTCTTCACTGAGGGTGATATACTGATAGCAATTTTTTTCGGCGCTGCTGTGTTTGGCCGATCTGCGAAGGTTTTCTTTCTCCTGACCATACTTGATGTCATTGATGCATTCGACCCCGCAGAACTACTGTTCCTGCGCTTGTTCTGCATCAGCTTCCCGAGCTCATCGTCATCATCTTCTTCGCGCCGTCTCTTCTCAGAAAGGCGTTCTGGCGGTGCGACCGAGGATGATTCACTGCTCGTATCGGAAGCGCCATCCGTTCCGTCTTGCTTTTCGCCAGACGTTGGCAGCACCTCAGGATCAGCGTTCTCATCCACCTCTTCATCCGAAGGGTAGTCGACCAGCGGTTTTGAGGCTAATGTTGACGCTGCTGAGCCATTTGTGGGCTGCACCTTATCAAAAGCCCTGCTCTCAGGTCCATCTTCGTCATCCGAGGTGTTGAAGTAATCCTCCTCGGCTTGATCTACGGCGATGTGTTCCATCATCCTCTGATTGGTGTTGGCGGCCGTCCGTCTTGCCAGATCCTCTTCTGATTCCGTGTAGAACTCGGCGGTGTGGCCCTGAGTCTGGTCGTAGAGTACTAGGACGTTGCGGAAAGTTTCCATGTAACTCAAATCGACTAGTCGTTCCCGATAGTTTTGGACGAGGAACTTGTTCATGGCCTTTCTGTGCTCTTGTCCGGTAACGAATACGAAAAACTCGACACAAGCGGAGCTGAGGAGGTTGTCCCGATGCATAGATTGGGAGACCATGTCAAGCAAGGGCTCCAAGATGCCATGTTCCATGATGAGTCGATCGTAAAACTCATCTTGCATTCCTGCTAGGTTACGGAAGAAGCGAATGGCAACTGGCATTTACGGTTAGCAAAGCACGAGATCGTTTGAAAAGCTAATGACTAACCTAGTCGTAGATACTTCTCCGGGCAGGCAAACAGCTGGGCAATTCGCCGAAGTAGATCTTGTTGGTGAACGAAGGGTCTGCATTTCCCTTGGTGTTGTCTGATGAAGAAGCAAAGTATTTCGATGAGATATGTGAACATTGAGGCTTGTTGCAATGGGAATGCCATGTTGGTGCGGCCTCGAAGATCGGTGAGGGGCCTGAAGAGCCTTATTGCTGATGAAGCATAGAAGTTGTCAAGGAGGTTGGCGTGCTGAGGATCTTGCATTGCCTGGGGCCGTCGGCCTGGGAATTCCCCATTGGCTTTCGCGAAAGCCTCCTGCGACTGGAGCGGAGGGCCCTGGTCAAGAAGGACTTTCAAGGCATCTGAAATCTGTGCCTTGACGCCAAGGTCGACTTCCACCAAAAGCAGATCAATGAGCGAATCTGTCAAGGGCGGTTGCCTTTCATGAAGTTGGCGATAAATGGTGCCTCTAATCATGTGCGGGTCGTGGTCTATCAGGGATACCAGAACGTCGGTAGCGCCCACCCGAACGCTCACATCAGGGTGACGCAGGCCAAAGTTGATGACCTGAAGCAGGCCGTGACCGATGAAGTTGTTGTAAAGAGTTTGGCGAGCCGGCGGCTGCAGATTCTTCGCAATGGCGCAACATTGCTGAATGAACAGAACAGCCTCCTTCTTCCGTCTCTGATCCGTTTGCGTTATCTTGAAGATGCCGAAAAGGTCACCAAGAAATTCTCCATTCCCTTGCAGATGCTGGACAATATCCACCTGGTTGAAGAAAATCAGAGAGTTGAGAACGGAAAAAGTGGGATCATCCAGTATGCGTGCCAGTACAACGTCCTTCAAGTACTGAAGTCGGTAGGTCTGATGGATTTTCCTCCTGATCTGGTCGTCCTGGATCGGTACGACCTCCTTGTACCGTCCTTGGTTATCTAGCCAGTGGCGGTGGTTGGCTTTGTGGCTCGGGAAATCGGGGTCGTATTCGAGAGCGCCTACGACGCCTAGAACGCAGTCGTCGGACACGGCATGTTCTATTATGGCGGTGTCGTTGAGAAGAATGACGGTCTTCATGATGTTGCAAAGTCGGTGCAAATCTGATAGGCTCTCGAGATCTTCGGCCATTTCGACCAAAGGAATCAGTTTGCCAATATAGTCCTCGCCCATGATGCACTTAGCCAGTGCGTCTCGTCCATTGACTGTCTGACTCATTATGCGCATGCTAGTCTCAATTTCCTGGAGATTCCCGATTTCGGCTGGTGGAAGGCTGATGGTGCTGGGCATTTCCATGGCTAGATCGTCGGAAAGACTATCGTCTGAATGGAAAACGTTAGACTGGGGTCGTCCAGAACGGTCCCCGTTAGCACGCGACTTACCGGCAGCGACCATGCCATTCTGGAAAGTCTGTTGCACGCTGTTGACGAATTTCCTATTGGAAAGAAAAGTGATGAGCAATGAACATCAATGGCGGATGTACGAAGCCAGCGCTTACCATATCAGTGCACAGCCATCCGCCTCCTGGAATGAGAGGGCCATATCGATGCCATTGCTGGGTTCTGTCCAGACAATGAGAGTCTCTGTTTTCAGGAGTCAGTCTATCTGCGCCGCACACTGAGATGCCGTGGGACTTGCCTTGCTGCTTCTGGAAGCCATCCTCTTTGCAAATTTTGGTCTCCAATAGAAGCCTATCGGGGTGGTCTTCTGATTCAACTATGACTCTAGGGTCTCCGCGCTGATCATCCGCCGTCTGACGAGCATCATTATGTTAGCATCAAGACTTTTGATATGTTGATAGAGGAGGCATCGACGGCGGAGAAGGCGAGGCCGCGACAATGTATAGGCGCGTGACAAGACATACCTGCATGAAAGCAGCGGTACAGAAGCCGGTGCCGCGATCGAACCAGTCATTGTTGCGCAGCTCATAGACCTTGACGCGTTTCTTGTCCGTCGCATGATGAGGCACGGGTTGTGCCATCATCAATGGTTCGGTGCCCCCCTCGATAGTGAGACGGGGGTAGCTAAGGATATCGGGAGCGAGGTCGAGGTGTTGTTGAAGGGAAAGCTCGGCGTCGGTCTGGGTGAGGATGGTGAGCGCCACTTTCCCGTCGTTCGGTCGCGCCTGGAATGGGGCGCGGCTCTCTAGCGAGAGGTCGGTCGGTCGGGGACGAGAAGTCTTGAGCTCGCTCGTGCGAGAAGATGTTTATCGTCGTCGATGAATGCGTGGCCACGAGATGTGCCCGGGTGACGTAGGGTCGAGATGATCAGGGAGCCATCAAAATGGGAGGGGGCGGTCGGGTCGCGCGATTGGCGGGTGCCGGGGATTTGAGCAACGCAAGGCACGGTATATGCGTTGGGGAGAAAGTAGGATGCTGCGGCTGACGCGACAGCGATAGCGGAGTGCAGGCGACAATGATAAGCAACGCGCTTGCACGGATGGAAGGCGGCGAGACTGAAGTTTGGATGTCGTCGACTGCGGCGTCGCGGCGCAAAATTTTTGGGTTGCGTGGGATGGCAGATGATGATGAGATGGAAGAACTTTGAGGCTGTATTCGGTCGGTCGGTCGGTCGGTTGGTCGGACAGAGGAGGCAAACTGGGGACTCTGGGACTGGGTGACTGGGTACGGGACTTGACTGGGCTGGCTGGTCTGGCACCTCTCACGCTGGGACGGAAACTGCGCGGACTGCTGTCGCTGGCACTGGGTGCAGGTGGGTGGCACCTCTGCGTACGGATACTGCGTGCTGCGTGGCCGTGTATGGTGGGACGGGACAGTCCAATGCGCGTGATTCCTTGAGCTGGCAGCTTTGCTGGTTGCTCGATCAGGCCCCACAAGTGCCCACTCACCGCACTGTGACCCTACCGCTCATCGCTCCCACTCGCCGCTTTCTGGTTCGGTACCCGCATCGCACTAGCCGATTGTGGACTCGACGCACCTACCACCTCGCACCCGCGACAACCACTGGGGCAGCGTGGGCGGGCAAGGTGGGAGGCTTGCGTCAACGTGCGGCTACTCGTCTAATTATCTGCTTTTGGTAGGCGCTCGCCTGCTGTTTATCGATTGGCGGGGTCAGATGACTAAACATCCCATCGGGCACCAAGCGACAGTCCACCTCATGTTTTTCAAGGTTCCCATACAAGGAGCCGTCAATCGTGGATACTTTTGTCAAACTAGTATCCCTTGTTTCGC